CACAATGCCATTAGAACACCTGATCCATACACAAATAGGTCACTCTGTGGTTGTATTTATATTGAAACTACAATTCTCACATTCTCGAAAATTGCATAAACCTGCTGTTGATGCAGGTAGAATGTTCTCACTACACGGATTATTTGTCAATATTTGTTGCATTGCATACATATGGCACGACATTGATGGTAACTTCACATATTTATTTGAGTTAATTGTTCCGGTTGCAGAAAAAATAGCATGTTTCATTCGGATCAAAAGTGACTTTGTTCGACTCGCAAATTTTGCTTTCGCTCGGCTTCGCTGAACGCTCCGCCTCGCAAATGCAAAATTCGCTTGTCAAACAAAGTGTCACTTTTGATCCTGATAAAACAATATACTATTCTTAGGATGGAAGTTCAGACGCGTCGTAGTCATCAGATGCCATCGGATATTTCATTTCAAACTAATTTAATTAATTAATAAATAGTTATTCAACCAACTAGTGTATTAATCGCCTTTTAATATACAAAATTTTTCCGTCGACTATATTTCTCATTTCTCCTGCAATGAAGAAAACTTGGTTCGCGAATTCATCATTCATCCGGAAACTTCTGAGAATCACCCAGTAGCCTTGTTACTGACATTAGTGACATTTGACATTTGTCGAAATGATCAACATGGAAAATACATTCCTTTTGTGCTAGAAAACAGGGATTAAAATCGTGTCAGAAACTTGGAAAGGCGAACCCGTTAACGGAAAATCTTCGATGAAATCCATATTTTCGATTTAAATGCAGATTCCGTAAGTCATAGCATAAACAATGAATGCACGCGGTGTATGTTTGGTTGCCTATAAAACAATCGTGCATTAATAGACAAATGGTTCATTAATAGGGGTTATTAATGAACGATTTCATATACATTAATACGAGGTCGACGGAAAAGTAATATTATTTTCCGTCGACCTCGTATTAACGACTAAGTTTAATGTATATGAAATCGTTCATTAATGACCCCTATTAATGAACGATTTGTCTATTAATACACGATTGTTTTATAGGCAACCAAACATACACCGAGTGCATTCATTGTATATACTATAACTTACGGAATTTGCATTTAAATCGAAAATATGGATTTCATTGACGATTTTCCGTTAACAGGTTCGCCTTTCCAAGTTTCTGACACGATATTAATCCCTGTTTTCTAACACAAGGAATTCATTCCCTATGTTGATCATTTCGACAAATGTCAAATGTGTCTAATGTCAGTAACATGGCTACTGGGTGATTCTCAGCAGTTTCCGGATGGATGATGGTTTGGCGAACCAAGTTTTATTCATTACAGGAGAAATGAGAAATATAGTCCACGGAAAAATGTTGTAACCAACTTGTATATTAAAAGGCGATTAATGATCTCGAACATTAACGCACTCGCTTCGCTCGCACGTTAAAATATCTCGATCATTAATCGCCCTCATTAATACACTAGTTGGTTAAATAACTATATAAACACTGACTCAATTAATATGAATAATTTCTTGTCAACCCTGATTGACATTTTAGATTGAAGTTTACTTCGATTGAAGTTTACTTCAACAAAAAAAAAACTCTCCTGTAGTAATAATAGGTTGAAAAAAAAAAGAGAATAACCAACAGCAGGAGACTTACTCCAAGACACGTTCTTCGTCCTTGGCTTCTGCTGCTTCTTCCTGTTCTGTAACACCAGATTGCTGGTCAATTGATGGCCCTGCAATAAGGGCGTCCGCCCTTTGGCCACCTTTTTGGCGACCTTGGTTTTCGCCATGCTGTCAATTTTTACCGCGTATGGTACCGAAATCCACGAAAAATACGAGAGTCAAGACGAAGGACAATGGGCACACAAATCACTACTACCACGTGGACAATCCTACGTGGAAATTTTCAACAAAAAAAAAACAATAAAATGGCAGTACGTCAAATGAAACAACACACGGTACAGACAATCAATAAAGAGAAATAGGAACTTAGGTAAATGAGTGCGAATAGATTAGAAAAATTCTCACAAAGTTACCGTCGAATTTTGATAAATAATATCGTTCGGTGTTTCAGGTACGAAAATACGCGGTAGAATAAAATAGAAGAACATCGCTTGAGGTCAGTTTGGAAGAGTTGAAAAAGTCGCACAAAAACTTGTAGGTGGAAGAAGGAGGAAAAAAACGACAACATCCCGACACGAATATAATATTCACGTTACAGGGCGGTCCTAGATCTTATACACTTTCATTTTCAGGTCAGAGTGGCCCTGGGAGTAGCCTATTTAATTTTATTGAAGGAAACTTTTTCAAAATAACAACGGAATTTATCAGAACAGGAAGTCTCAAAAATTTCGTAATTAGTGCCACAGGCAGAATCGAGGGCAGAATACTTGCCAAAACTGATGTTTTTTGGTTCAAAAACACCAGATTGAGTAAAACAAGGGCATACTATGTAGGTAATCCAGTATATTTTGTATGGCTCAACAGGACACAACATTTTCACTATAGAACACAACTAGGTATTCATTAATAACCCGAAAATAACGAGTAAAATAATCGAAGATAATTCAAAGTTCAGGTGAAGATTTTTCAAATTGAAAATACTGGAACAAGTTATTTAAATATGAAGATATTTTCATCCTATTTTCATATCCTTTTTTATATTTTGGCATTGTCTATGATAAGTGACTCTAGTCTTTGATTGCCCATTTAGTGAAAGAAGCAGTAATTCATTCAAAATAGTTATCAAAAAATGTGCTATCTTCCAAACTTTCGACCCTGTGTATACAGAATTGAAAGAGATATTGAATAAAAAAAGTTTGCCTAACTGTGATGGAATGGAACATAACTCCCAATATAAAGAAAACTCATGTGTTTACACTGTTTACTGCCAGTTTTTCTTGTAGAAATGACTCGTTTGGTTTTTTTCTACGATTTATATTCAAAATATATGCAGAATTAGTGGACTTTTTCAAAGCAACAATGAGTTTCGTCCAAAGTTTCGAAATTAGTGCCACAGGCAAAATAATTACTTGCTAAAACTGATATTTTTGAGTTCAAATCACAAAAAACACCAGACTGAGTAAATGGAGATCATATTACGTAATTTTTTATGGCTGATTCATAGTGTGGAACTCTCAGTCAAACTCAACAGGACACAAAATTGCAAAATTGTCACTATAGAACTCAACTACTCATAAATAACCATAAATAAGGTGTAACATAATCTCGAAGATTTCAAAGTCCAGGTGAAGATTTTCAAAATAAAAATCCTGAAACACGTTTTTCAAATATATGTAGATATTTTTTATCCTTTTTCATATTTGACATTATCTATGATTACTTATTTAGTGGAAGGAGCAGTAATTCGTTCAAAATAATTGTCAAAAAGGAAAGCTTAGGTGTTTTTCTTATAGAAATGTCTCATTTCGTTTTTTTATTTTTTCATTATATATATTTAAAATAAATGCAGAATTCGGCATAATTAGAATAAGCCAAGGATATCAATTTTCAATTTCAAATAAATACTCTTGAAAGTTTTTTCTTCAAACAAATTCTAAGAAGCCCTGGAAGGGAAACATGAAATGAAAAAAATAGCATTTTTCTAAATTCTGAGTTATAGCTCTGAATTCTGAAATTCCGACTTATATCTCGGAATTTGACATTCAAAATTCCGAGTTATAACTCAGGATTTTAAAATTCCGAGTTATCACTCGGAATTTCACATCCAATATTCCGAGTTATAACTCAGAATTTTAAAATTCCGAGGTATAAGTCGGAATTTTACATCCAAAGTTCCGAGTTATAATTCGGAATTTTGAAATTCCGAGCAATAAGTCGGAACTTTGATGTAAAATTCCGAGTTATAACACGGAATTTTAAAATTCTGAGTTTTATAACTCGGAATATTGGATGTAAAATTCCGAGTAAAAACTCAGAATTTTGAAGTTATTTTTTTTATTTTACGTGTCCCTTCCAGGCCTTTGTAAAATTCTTCTACCGCCTGATAGATAATATCTTGATATCTTCAAGTAGGTAACTACAAAAAAATAGCATACCTACATTATGGTGTACCCTAATCCAATAGAGAATCTATCAAATTTTGTTTAATATCAATGCAGAAGTAAGTAAATACCAGTAGTTTAAGAAAAATGTTTTACTATTTTCCTCACAATTTTCAATAGTGTTATTATTACTTATGACCTCTGACTTTTTCAATTCTGAAGACAAGATAAATGAACAATAGCTTATCTTGTAATTCACAGAAACAAAACGATCATAATAAATCAAACAATTCATAATATAATCAGTACCACAAAAAAATGCTAGTTATATTGTTTGATAATATAATGCTGGGTTGCACAAACACACTTCAAACTGAAGTAGGATTAAGTACCAATACATATACTTATACCTAAGTGATATTTCCAAGGATATTTAAGAAGGGCATGAATGGGCATTTAACTTTGCATTTAATAATAAATAAATAGTAAACACAGAACATTGGACTTGAGAGAACATAATGATTTATTTCAAGAATTTAGGTAGTTATATCTACCACATAACAGCATATTATAGAATATTATTCAAGATTTGTTGACCACCTATGCAAGGAGAATCCACTATTAAGTAGTCATTACTCATTATTGTTTACAAAATACAAACCTTAATTAAATCCAATTACAAACTGCCTACTTACTTACCTCTCTACCTAGTTACCTACCAATTGAAATAATAAATAATACATAAATATTGTGGTGGAGAAAAGATAAATTGGCTTGAAGAAATGAGGATAGGGTTTCGGGTGTTTATAATTGAAAGATATGGCAGTGATGGTACCCTACTTTACTGATATCTATTTAGAAAGATCAGAGTGAATGAATGAAAAAATAGTTAAAGGGGTGCTTATCGATTTGAGAGGTAATTGAAAAAAAAAGCTCTGAATATGCTCTGAATGATGCTCGTAATTAGTGAACGATATACTTGTGAAGACAAAACTTACCATTTTTAGACTGCTTGTCACTCATTATTTTCACCTGCATATTCTCTGTGTCTGACGCCTGTGTCAGCGACATATCTTCAGCAGAATTCTTCTTTGGTTACACTTCGAATAGTCAACTAAACACCTAGTCTGGGTTTTACAATAAATAATCGAAACTTGTATAAAGGAAAACCTATATAATAATATACAACTAAGCTTAATATCACAGTTCGTTATTTCGTCAACAAAAACTCAACATACGCATACAAACATGAAGATGTTTAAAATTCGAATGAAATATGCTTGTATAACACGCCAAAATATAAATTAGATTCACTTTCAGACTTTAAATATCCACACCGTACATAATATACTCGTAAAATGTCTTCGAATTAGCAAAAATAGAAACGTACGCCATATGCCTTTCTTTCACCTTTCAAACAATGCGCCATCTTACCCATCCACGGGCAACTACGATCTTTGTTTCACTTCTATTCACGCATGCTCAAAATATTCTATTGTTCGTTTGAATTAAATGATTGATTATATCGCGAGAATGAGATTCAAATAAATATAAATTAGGATAGAAATAATTTGAATTGATCATTTGATAATCTAATAGTAGATGAGCTTCCTGCTTGCACCACCAAAGCAAGAAATCATACTCAGACAGCAAACTCCCACAAAATCTATAATAAAGTTTGGATTAGAAAGCAGAAACTGAGTTATGGTTATGCAACAAGTAATACATTATTCAATGTGCTCTGTGGACTATAAGCTCAAGAGCTCAAGGATAGACTGAGTGACAAATGACTCAGTGTTGTGTGACAAAGTGAGTGACATGCTTCAAAAAAATTGTTGCTCTGTGCAGGAACTCAATTTTTAATAATATTATTGAATATTGATACGTAAATCGTTGAGTTCTTCCATAAAGAGGCTACCGGCGAAGGAAATTTTAATTTCTGAATCTGGTTCTAAGTTCTGTACTAATACTAACTGGAGTTATCACTAGGTATCCATATGTGTTGGATGTCTGCATCATTTTGGTAAGCTTCTTATCAATCAAGTGAAATTATTGTAAATAAATCATTCCTGGATTCAACAAATCAGTTTATTTTCACTCTATGTTTTTCCATGGGTTTCCCATGTTAAAACACTGCAGCGAAAACATGACTGTAGTTCTGAAACAATTTCAAACAAGAAACTCCACAAGAGGTTTTGGTTAGACCATTTTAGAGACATCTATGAATATGTTTCTGTTGGGTATCTTGGGTGGGAAAATATACAAGAACAGGAACTTGAAAATATTTTTATTATTTGTACAAATTGGCAAATAATTATTCTCGTAATTATTAGTATACTCGCCAGTATGATACAACACTGGATAGGACATCACTTACATTTTATATCTTGGTCTTAGGAATTACAATCATCAATTATTATATTATTTTGGATTTCAAGAAACCCTGTTTTGCATAACTGGAGAATAATATTGAAAAGGAGTATTCTCAGATAAATTATGAACATGAAAAAATGGATATATATATACAGGGTGTATCTAAATAACACCGAAAAAATTCAAGGGGTGATTCCTTGTGACATTTTAGGAAATAAAGTTTATATGAACATGTGTATTAATATTTCCATGAAATATCGTTTTTTTATTCATTACTCAATTGTCTTTCCATCAATTTCAATAAAACGCTGTGGTTTTTTAATAGTAATATGAGTAATATGGAGCTTTTTCTCAATTAATACTTCCAAATTCAACATCCTGTATCTCAAAAACGGAGCAAGTTAGGGCTCTTGTTTATATGAACTTTATATGCTAGAATATCACAAGGAATCACCCCTTGAATTTTTCTGGCGTTATTTAGATACCCTGTATAAAGAAAATAAGAAATACCTACATGTTATATCAATTCTTCCTTGGTTTATTCAACAGGAAACAGCTACTTTCAAAATTCAAACAATGATAAAATCTTTACAGATTCTTTATTTAATTTTTTTTTGAGTTGTTGGGTGATGAGAAAAAAAAAAAGGAATTTAAAAAATATTTTTATTATTTGTACAGTATAATATAAATTGGCAAAACATTTCATTATACAGCATCTTTTACACTTTATGTCTTTCAGTCTTACAAATTACAACCATCAATTTTTCAAATAGGTATTCTAAATTAGAAAAAAAACCTCTTTCACATCTAACATGAGATTTGTTTTCAAATTAGGTATCCTACTTCTCTATAGTAAATCAGTGACATCTTGAACAATGCTATTTAAATAATCATCAAAATTCAAACAACACAATCATCATTGAACAGCTATTAAAAAAATAATATTTTTCCATTCATAAAAGTTGCTCAGTTCTCTTGTAGGAAATACAGACAATATTCCATGCAACAAAACATTTTGGTACTTTTAAAGTGTCTCTATGACAAACCAGCATTTTTACAGTTCTTGGTGGTCAAAAAACGGCAACCATAGGTATAGTTCTGGACTAATCTGCCATAATTAAAAAAAATTTAAAATCCTACCTACTCTAAACCAATTCGATATCAAACATACAATTCTCCCTCACAGTATGTCTAAGTGTGCTTCTTGAGCCATCACCAAAGACTTCTTGTGAGGCATACGTGACATAGAGGAATCCATCATTTTCTGAGTGCTCCGTATAGACCTCAGCTAAAGTGAGCGACAAGCTCATCATTGATTTGTTATTCACTAGGAGATACAGGGCTTGGTTCTGGTTCAAACGTATTCTGTTCCTGAAACGAAAAATCAAAATTATTACTATTATTATCGATGAATGAACACTTACATTCTTATTTCACATCTACCTCGAAAAAAAAACATTCATTATGATACAGGGTGTCCCAAAATTACTGGGACACAGAGCTACCACCTGTAATACAAGTCAAAATGAGTTGATTAGACCCTCGATTAGACCCAATTTATTTCTGGATTCATTTATACAGGGTGGTTAGTAGAACACTGTAAAATAAGTTGGGTTTGCTCAGTGAAAAAATGTCGTAATGGCATCCGTTATCAAGATACAAGGTGTTGAAAAAATGATTTGTTTTTACACATTTTTCAAGATTATATCGAAACTACTGGCAACATTGTGATGAAATTTTGTATGGATGTTTCTTGGAATCTGACACATCGCATGCATTTGTTTTTATACCTGACTCTCATAGAGGGCGCTAGTTACACGGTTCGTTGTTTTCGTCTGCTTTTCAGTGTCGTGTAAAATGCACTGTACTATGAATCAGCTGATATTTCGTGCAGCTACACCAACGAATTATAAACGAACGAAGGAAATTGAATTGAAGAGGAAAAGTGCTATTCTGATTTTTAAATGCGGTATTTGACGAGGTATTTGATGTAACTGGTTTTCGAGTCTTTATGTATTATAAATATAATCACACATGTATTTCGAGTAATTTATCGCGATTTTATATGGTCTTGAATTTGAGTGTAATTCACACCTGCCAAGACTAGGTGGAGATAAACTACACTGGTGTGAAATGCACTTCTCGAAAGAATGCTCAAATTCGGTGTAAATTACACGAAGTGTACGAATGTGCTACACTTTTCGAACAAAAGAAAGGGCCTTTAATTGTTGTTGTTCTAATGCCTTTAATGAATCTAAACATTCAAAAACCCTAACCGTTGTCATTTCTTTGTCCGAACTCTTATTGGATTGAGTCGGATTGAGTTTGTTTTCCCCCAGTTTTGACGTGGCTTTGACATGGAACGAGGAAAACCGAGCGCCACCTGGTAACATTGATTCCCACGAATACATAGTTGCGAGCATAGTTGCTCTGTTTCCCAGCAATTTCGAGACATCCTGTATATTTGTAACATTCACTCCAATTAAAGGCATTTCAGATAATAGAAAACTTTGGCTTTGATATCAAAAAAGATGATAATGGGCGTGTACACCTCAGTAGAACTTTTAACTCAAACCATGTTTATAATGATCCTTTTATACATAAATAATGATTGCCGACATAATTCGATCGAAAAATCAACTGGAATGTTTTATTTTTCGACATAAATAATAGTACCTTCTGAAAACGGACCCTTTTATGACGTAGAAACCTCATCTCGCCATAGTTAAAAGAAAATACCAAACGCCCGACGGAGACTGAGGCAACTGATATATTGATTCTTTCAACTGTGATCTCGCGCTAATTCACTCTGTCAGAAATCATGTATCATTCATCTCTGTCTGGAATAGTCTTGTTTCAGTATTAGGGTTTTGACGTCACATCATCGCCTCGTTTTCAGAAGTCCGAAAAATCGGGGATTTCAATAATTTTTTATAAAACGTAGGGAGCTCACAGCAAGAAACGGTTTGCGGTGGTGAGCTAGTTTGGGTGAGTTCTATCGAATCATGAAATATAGTTATTTATTATACAAGGGAAAAAAGTAGTAGATTTTAGCCCCAGGTCGTGTTGTCTCCCGACGCGTAGCGGAGGGAGACAAAAAACCGTGAGCTAAAATCTAATATTTTTCCCGTGTATAATACACTATTTTTTTCTGTGACAGAAGGAAGGATGAATCAATATTGAGAAGATATTACATTATTTCGAAATCTGAAAATTATCGACGTGAAATTTCAAGTTTTCAACAGTAGGGACACCTGCGTTTTATAGACATCTTTATCATTCTTTTGAAGTAATCAAATATCTGATGTCACTTCTGTCAGTTCAATTCTGTGATTTGATTTTGAAAAATTGCGAATTCAGTAGTAGTTGTTTATTAGTAATATACGAAACCGCGAAGTCGAATGGAAGATAAAAGGACTTGCAGTTCTTTCTCGGAGACGGTATTATTGACTCATTTCTGGGAACTATAGCACAACAAAAGCCATTAACAGAGTATATATATGTGATATATATCCGGGAAAAAAGTACTCACTTTTTTCCCACGGGAAAAAAGTAATTTATGAAAAGTGACATTTTATAACCTGCCAACAGACATGAAATGCCAAACTTTTTTCCCGTCACAGAAAAAATTTTTTTTTGTGATATAAGCCCATTATTGTTCACCATTTTGATCATAATTATTTTCAGGTCCTTCCTTTCCTTTCTCTTCTATTTTCCCATGAAGCAAGGAAGTTAGGAAGGACCATTCGAGAAATTAGCTCTTTTTTAATTCGATTGATCAAATATTTATCTAGTTTCCAAAGAATTGTACTCACCTAATTATGGTTTGAAACTGGCACATTGTGATTTCTTGAGGTACTAGAAATTTGGACTTGTCCAATTGGGGCAGGTGGGTCTCTTTGAAAAATCTTTGTACGATTACCTACAAGTAATAAAACAATCTGTCAGACATAAGGAGAATTTCACAAGGTATTCTTACTTACAGGTATTTTCGTTGGAAATCTATTTCTTATTGCTAGAACTTCTTCTTTCCTGACTTCTGGAAATAAAAACAAGTATTTTGTTATTCATTCAATAATATATTTATGTTGTATATTTCGACATATAATTTATGTTATTGAACTTGAATTCGAACTTTTTTTATAAAAATTGCATTATGGATATTGTTTTCCTGGTTATTGTAAATGATTTGTCTGAGAGTATAATTTTTGTTGTCCAAAGACTCCAAAGAGACTAACAAATATTTACAGTTTATTGGAATTTATCGCACAATTATTTATAGCCATAAATATAACATCAGTTAATAATTTCTGAGAAATAATTTTCCATTATTAAGAAGAAATCTTTGCGAATGGAGTTAATAGTTGTAAAAACTTCACAAACGATAAGATTTCCAGAAAATTCTCAAACACACGACATGTTTCGCTAACACAGTAGCTTCGTCAGGTGATATACTGGTACAATGAACTAAACTAACGTTGGCTTGCTTAACTTTTATATATCTTACTTTCCCAACCTGAAGGATTAGTTACCTGTGAACAGATACGATAAACCTCCATTTTCGGAAATTAGGCACAATATCTACATCAAAATACGGTGTACCGGATTAACTTGAAAGAGTTGATAGCAAATACATATTATTCCTTACTAGGAAAACAAATTCAACAGTGGTGAACTATTGAGGTCTAATTGATCATTAAGTAAAATGTCAGAATTTTTGAGTTTCTAATGATTCAAAATGATTGACCTATATCGGTCAGACAGGTCGTACGTTTAATCAGCGCATTCATGAACATAAGCTAATGAAAAAAAATTCAACATACGCCAACCATAATATATTAGAAGAAAACCATAGTTTTGATGATAATTTCAGAATTCTACACGTAGAAAATAAAGGAATGAAACTCAGTTATTTTGAATCATTAGAAATCAACAAACTAACACTTCTGACATTTTACCCAACGATCAATTAGACCTCAATTAATAGTTCACCACTGTTAAATTTGTTTTCTTAGTATGTAATAATATCTATTTGTTATCAATCCTTTCAAGTTAATCCGGTACACCGTATTTTAATGTATATATTGTGCCTAATTTCCGAAAACGAAGGTTTTTCGAACCTGTCCACGTGTAACTAATCCTTCAGGTTGGGAAAGTAGGATATACAGGGTGTTTCAAAAAAACCTAACCCCCTTGCTCTAGGGTAGGTAGAACAATGCAAAATAAGTTGAGTTTGCTCAGTAAAAAAATGTCGTAACGCTATCCGTTTTCAAGATACAAGGTGTTGAAACAATATTTTTTTTACACATTTTTTACGATTTTGTTGAAACTACTGGTAAAAGTGTGATGACATTTTGTATGGATGTTTTTTGGAATCTGACACATCGCATGCATTTGTTTTTATATCTGACTCTCATAGAGGGCGCTAGTTACACGGTTCGTACCGAATAGTTTTGAACATAACTTTTTTGGGGTTAGATTTTTCAATCCAAATTTGATGTGAACTTGAACATCATCCAATTCCATACCAAGAAGGTACTCTTGGTAAAACTCGATACTGTGTTCCGTTTTCGGAATATTTCGATTTGAAAAAAATACATTTCTGATGCAAAACTCATTGATTTAACAATGAATCACAAGAATAACATCGAAACAGATTTGACTAAGAACATGGAATACACAGTTTTGTTGTATCTTGAGCAGAAAGTCTATACTACATAGGTAAATTCACGTCAAGAGTTGTGAGACATAATTGAACATCACTTAAATGACCTAACAGCTGATCCTCAACTGTTCAGAAGGATAATACATTCTTAAAAAAAGAATATAGAATCGTGTATTCCTCGAAACGTAGGACATTTTGAACACTTACTCTAACTGATTCAATATTTCATGTTTCTAGTCAAATATCTCTTGATTTTCTACTTATGATCCTTTGTTCCATCAATAACTTCAGCACAAAAATATTTTTATTGTTTTTGAACCTGAATAAATAGGTAATTGAACTCAATAAAATTCATTTTATACCAGCATCATTACTACTCCATTATTTTCAAATCGAAATATTCCGAAAACGGAACATAGTATCGAGTTTCACCAGGAGTACCTTTTTGGTGTGAAATTCAATGATGTTCAAGTTCATATCATATTTGGATTGAGAAATCCAACCTCAAAAAAGTTATGTTCAAAACTACTCGGTACGAACCGTGTAACTAGCGCCCTCTATGAGAGTCAGGTATATAAACAAATTCATGCGATGTGTCAGATTTCAAGAAACATCCATACAAAATTTCATTACAATGTTGCCAGTAGTTTCGGAATAATCGTGAAAAATGTGTAAAAGAATAACCACCTTGTATCATGAAAACGGATGCCGTTACGACATTTTTTCACTGAGCAAACCCAACTTATTTTGTTCTACCTACCCTAGCAAGGGGGTTAGGTTTTTTGAAACACCCTGTATAAGCAAGCCAATGTTAGTTTAGTTCATCGTACCAGTATATCGCCTGACCTGTGTTAGCAAATCATGTCGTGTGTTTGAGAATTTTGTGTTTGTGAAAATTTTACCTCGAATTTTACTAATGTCAATTTTATATGAAAACTGTATTGACTCTTCATTTGGGGAATCACTCTTCTATTTTCCTTTTTTTTAATTGGAGGTTCAGATTTCAGATCGCACACTGTATGATATGAATAATTTTTGGAAATTGAATTTTTCAGGCAGTTATTATGCATAACAAATGACCTCATTATCATGAAGAAAATAAACCTTGTCCTAAATAACATGTTTTCCATTGACTACATATATACAGAGTGTTCATCTGTTCAATAGTGGTTTTCACAGATGTCGATCTACAGGGTCTTCAACATGTATGGAATAAGGATGCCACATTAAAAACGGTCACGTGACATTAGTAGTGCTTAGTTGAATGTTGAAAAGTATGTTATGTATGTTATATTCGAATGTCAAAATCTGAAAGCGCCTAAATCTCAAATATGTTTTTAGGTGAGGAATGTTATCGTTCTTTAACCTTGAAATGTAATATTCAATTGAAAACAAACAAATTAAATTCATACAGGATTATCAAGAATTTTTATCGAATTAGGGGGCATCTTAATCTCGAAAAAATCAACTGATTTCTAGTTTGGCAAATACAGGGTGATTCACGTTCAGTTATCCAACATTCTTGGCTAACAATTATTAATCATGAAAATGCTGGAGCAGAAGCAGTTGATAAGATACATGTGGTTGGATATCTGAACATCTAATGATTAATGATTTTATATTGAAAATTATGAGTTTTCCTTCTACAACGCCTTAGATAAGATTGCCTGCGTCAACAGGAAGAGTCCCTGCAACATTTTCCAAATACCCGAATTCTTCAAATACATAGTGTTTGATCAAAATATCAATTTTTTCAACACATTTAGTGTAACCAAACCTAATATTCATATAAGGGCTAAGGCTGGGAATAATAGTTTGAGATAATATTATGAAATATTTAATTCGACACGATATTTTTCCCTGTTTGATTCCCTCCTGAATAAAAATTCCAAATGTCGTTCTCATGTTCGAATCCTGCTTGAAAAGTGAAGTAAACATACAAAACTTTATTTTATTTCAAACCGCTTCGAAAATTATCTTATGATTTAATATCACAAGCATAGATTAACACTAGGGATACTATATTGCTGGAAATATTCGGCGATTGTTACGACAGCTTGTTTTGTGAATGACATTGTTTATCAAATCTTTCGAGCCGTAGGCGAAAAGTTTTGGATCAATTTCACGAGTAAAATCACAGCAGCAAGCTGGAGTAGGTCAATCGACGGATATTTCCAGAAAAAATAGTATCACTAGTTGTATTCCTATGAATATTTCATGATTGAGACAGTCAACGAGCGCCTCGCGAGAGTTGCGCACACTGCATCCATCATTCTGGCTTCCAACATAATTGACGTTTTAAATGCCAAAAATTTTATGGCTGGTCACGTGTGAGTCAATTCGGTTTCTGTATTGGTAGAGCAAATCCGATAAAATTTAGGAAACAAAAAAAAAATATCCCTGTAAGATAGAAGAAACCGTGAAAATGGTGAGAACCGAGCCGAGAACAAGAGTGGAATAGTCATAAAAAAACAATTCAGGGTAGTAATTTTCCAACCTATGTTCATTCAAGATATTTCTCTCATTTTTGGTTGAGACATCTATTGCCAAACTATTATGGGACGGACATGAAATACTAATGTGGGAAAAATATTTCTAGTAGGTACAGTGCTGCTCAATAAATAGCAATGACTATTGAATTTATGGTATTCATTGATGAGTACTAAATTGAGTAATTTCAGTCCATGGGCCTAGTCTGACTATTCTTTCCATGATTATTTCATTGAGCAGAGCTGTATAGGGTGATTCAAACTTTCCTCCCTTGGTTCATAACAGGAAAAGGAAAAATGCTAATTTGGCAGAGGGGATTAGAATGCCTGTGTATAAGGTATATTTGCCCGTCTTCAAACATTTTTCAACCTTATTCAAAATTGCGGGATTGGCAGAAATAGCGCCAGAATAGTCACTTATGTAACAAGTGTGTAAAGTGATACTTTTTTTTACAAGTAGGAAATGTTGACGCACGACGCCTAAGGCAGGTGCAGCAATTTCTATGAGTAAAAAACACTTGACGCACGTATAACATAGAATATTTTTCCTACATCTGTCAAAAAAGAGTGATGATGTAAAAGTTTATGATGTTTCGCAATTAGCGCAATTAGTATCAAGCACATTCTTTCCTTCCCATCTCTATTCCACTGGCACTCCCTACGAAATACGAAGTCAGCTGCCTTGATTTGTTCACTTGCTGCCTTGCTGAATACCGTAAAGGAGCCCATAGATTGCGTTGTCGGTGGGATGTTTTGTCCGTCGAATAAGTACTTATGTTCGAGCAAAAAAAACGCAAAACCGAAGTGTGTGGTGTGGGGCTAGCGAAAACGACCATTTTGCAGCCACAGATTTTGGTTTCGCGTCATTTTTGTACGACTTGTTGGTCGACTAAAATAACCTACCAGTACTTTTTTCACACTTTTTCGTAAAACTTTGATATTGGAAAATTGTACACTTTAGGCACACAAATTATATTGACAAAGTTGTTTTTTTGACAGTTATAAGAAAAAAATATTCTTCCCATAAAGTTACCATTTTTTTTCTCATATTCTGAAAGATCATGCTCTTTAAACAACTTTCATTCAGAAAATTTTTTCTACTCTTGAGTTGGCATTTTCAAATATAATTTCAACTGAATCCGCCGTGATAATCTTCTTTCAGAATATAAAATTAATGGTAACTGTGGGTAATAGTATATTGTGCAACAAGTGGGGACAGTTCAACTTTTATCACGAGTGAGAAAAGTATTTGTCCCCACATGTTGCACACTTTACTTTTTCTACAACTGCACTTATCGAAAGAATCCAAGTAATGTAACTTATTGGTATTCATTTTATAATATGGCACTATGCCACATTGAATATTGTGACCAGAGAGTAGACGTCTTCCCTAGTTCCTAGAAGTATTTCAAAATAGTACACTTTCTGAAAAAGATTTCATTTCTGTATTTTTTTAGATGCCATAAATTTTTCGTATATGCCAAATTCATACTTTTTTCTTGAAATTTCCGGAAAAAAATCCAATTTTCGCAGCTTTTTCCATTATCTCTGTCTCTGGCGGTGTATTTATCAAAATTTGCAAATCTCGGTATATACATCATATCATTTATTATGAATTGTTGGAATAATATTTGATGGAAAATGCGATTTCTATCAAAAGCACTAATGAGAACTACCCTAAATAATTTAAAAAACTTCTTCTGATAGTTGTGACAACTATTCAAAGCTAAACAGCAGCCAAGTTCTGGACGATTTTTGTTGATATTCCATGGAAATGTATGTGGTGTTGGCAAAGTGCCGTGAGAAAAAATATTTCTCACAGTATGGGCAATACATGGTTTTGAAACTAAGTAAGCTGTGAGAAATGCGCTACTTTTCATAGCAGTAGCAGAAAAAATATTTATCACAGTATGAGCAATACATGGTTTTGAAACTGAGTAAGCTATGAGAAATGCGACAATTTTCATAGCAGTAGTAGAAAAAATTAGAATGTTCAACCCCGTTTCTGCCATTTTGAAAAAGGTTGAAAAATGATTAAATACGAAAAAGTATACCTACCTTACACACAGCTATTCCTTTTCGTGTCATAAACCAAGGGCGGGAAGTTGCAATCACCCTGTACATCGAAAATTATTCGAGCCACAGATACTCGGAAAAATCGAATCAACCCACTGACCTACGCTTTTCACCTCCTTCTTGACGTCATTGTTGTTGAGTTTGGCATCCTTTTTTCCAATTTTCTTGTCGCCAAACAGTTTGTTCATCTTCGTGTCCAGCGGAACGTTATTGTTGTCACAGTTGCACAACTTGAAACTGTCCTCTGGTGAGTTCGAATACATTTATCAGAATTGATTTGTTTATAATTATATTTATCTCCGTCTTCGGAACGTTTACTCGCGCTTCAAAAGTTTCAGAACGCTCTGTATGGTGGGCCGTTTGGGTCGATAGTGAGAGCAAGACTGACCAGTTGAGGACAAAGACTGTTTGGTTGTTTTTCTTCGGGTGTCTTATCTTTATCGGTTCTTGTACTTTTTATCGCAGATAGATGTAGGGGATATGGCCCTGGTACAGGGCGATTCGAAATACAGTGTCTTCCATGCATTTTGGTAAAACTACAATTATCATGCAATGTTTTTTTTTTGAAAATTTTTTTGGTACTTACGTATATTTGTCTGAAAACACGTATTTGATAACCAAAATGTGAGCAAACCATTATTTATTAAGATATTACACTATATGAAATTACAAATTTCACCTTCTTTTCCGACTGTCTTTCGGATCGCATTTAAAACAATTTGCCCTTCTTTTTTAATCATTGGACAATTTATATATCACAATGTACTACAATCACACATTTTTCTATTACATTAGTCAACTAGAATAGTATTTTTTCTACTACTGCTATGAAAAGTAGCGCATTTCTCATAGCTAAGTGAGTTTCAAAACCATGTATTGCTCATACTGTGAGACATATTTTTTTCCTCCGATTGGCAGCAAATATTAATTTTGCTGACACATATCAATCAGCAAAGTATTACTTTTCCTGTCTAGGCAGCAAAGTGGTTACTTTGCTGATTGATATGTATCAGCAAAATTAAAAATCCATAAATCGTTTATAATTTCCTTCATATTCCATCCGAGACTTCTCCGGCAACAAATTCAACTCTATATTTTTTGCCACCACCCTTATTAATGGAGGTGTAAGTATACTTGCAGGTCTCTATCACTGTCCATTATATGATAATTCAAATATACCGATATTTTTTCGCACAACTGTCAGAAATTTCATGAATTGTCAAACCAACAACTGCTATTTTTATCAAATTTTATTTTAATTGAACACTATACAGGAAGAATAAAGAGATTGTGGGAATTGTATTATTTCGCAAATACAATATTCTCCCATATCATTATGAACAATCGGAGAAAAAATTATATGTTCAACTCGGCAGCAAAAGATTGACTGCCTTAGCTGGATTCCTAGCCTCGCTACGCTACGCAGTCAATCTACTACTTTGCTGCCTAGTTAAACAAATAACTATTACATAACAATGCGCGAAGTAGGTACTTCGCGCATTGTTTTGTATCATGGTAACGTAGGAAACTGAAAAAATGTGTCACTTCGCAATTTCTTATCAATGCGCGAACCTTGTCATTTTTTGACGTTTGTAGAAAAATCATATTTTGTGTTGAATTTTCTATATAAAAATGTGTCATTGAAGTACATCATGAGTATATAAAGTGTCCAATGACAAAATAAGAAGAGCAAGTAGCTGTAAATGCATTCAACACAGGGTGAAAAAGAAGGCGAAATTTCGAACTTTTTCTTGAAATATCTCGATAAATAGTGGTTTGTTCACATTTTCAATATCAAATTCGTGTTTTTCAGAACAAAATATGTAGGTACCAAAAAAAAGTCACCTTAATTTTTCCTAATTTTCAGGATTCAAAATATGGTCGAATATTCCCCTCATATACAGGGTGTTTCGTAATAAGTTAGGTTAATCTATTACAGTGCATGCCCATGATATCATCGAGACTCATGAGCAATCCATTCAAAATAATTATGCGATGATTCTGTACTAGATTTCAAAATAATATGTGACCTTGTAAAAATCCTTGTACAAATCAAAAATACCTATACCATCCTCACAATTTGATAAGGATTTTCACTTCAAGAATCAATTAGTTTCGTTAATACTTTTCGTTATTTATTTATCAATGTGAAGCAAGTGTCCCGGGTTAAGTATTGCTTTTAATCTGCACTAATGAGGGGGGTATTATTGTGAACACTGATATGATAAGACACAATAACGAATCAGAAATGATGACAAACACTTATACTCAATGCTTAGGGTGATTCACCGAAACGTCGCGGTCTACAAGTCATTTTCAAGAATTATTGTTGAAAGTTGTGAATATTTGGAAACCCGCCCCTATACAGGGTGTTTCAGAGTTGCGGTGATGAAAACCTAGGGGAGATTCCTCTCACAAAATATAAAAACAACTTCATATAACATAGGTCCGAAAATGCTTTGTTTCCAAGATACAGTTGGCAAGTTTAAAAAAGAAGAGTTTTTTATTAATATTTTGAAAAAGTTCAAGCGGATTTGAATGAAATTTTATGGTTCATTTACACAATCTTCAGACATTTACTGGACAAATTAGATTTGATCCAGAATATCCAGGGGCGTACACATCGAGCAAGTCGGCTTTTTTTTTCTAGAAAAAAAAGTCACCCCTGTTTTTTTTTGGGTTCTTCTTGAATATTCAGATGAACCCACTAAAAATACATTTCTGTCTCTTGCTATTTTTCCGTATATACACATCTCGGCATATCTCTGAACCTCATAAAAAAGATATTATCCAGAAATGTATTGCACAATATTATTTATGAAAACAAAAACATAAAATTCATTATCCTCTCTGAAATGTATACGATCTTCAACTTTTTTTTTCATATTTTGTTGAGAAGAATCTCCCATAGGCTTTTGTCATTACAACTCTGTAACACCCTGTATAGTGTGGTGACAATCTCAAAGCGATAGAAATGTTTGCCAAAAAATTCAGTTTCAGCCACTTTTGAAATAGAATTGGCAATCAGTTTTCTAGTTAAAATAATTCCGATTATAGTTTCCTGATTTTTGTGATTCAATTTTGATTAATCATACTCAATTAATAGACCGTCTGATACGCCTTTTTGAGTAGTTTATTGAAAAAAAAAAACTATTCGTATCATTCTTCTACTGTGTAAGTAATTAAAATTTGATCACCCTGTATATAGGATTTCGCATATTATGGTCAACAATGAGTTGCCTAATCTCTGTTCACTCTCCAAATCTACTGCGGATGGCAAATTGGGCCAAAATAGGTATTTATACAAGCATTTCTGAATAGTTTGTGTGAAAGATATGCGAAAAAATTTTGGTGTGTAGATAATAATATGTGAATAAGGTGGGAAGTAATGGAATAAATGATGATAATAATTATTACAATGGATATAATCTCTCTACGTGCTGACTTGTACGTATTTCATTCTATGGGATGACGCTTAGCAACAAATAATAATAATAAGAGCTTAATGTCCAACAACAATATTTTCCGATGCATTATCTTTGGCAAATAATTAATTTATATAGTGGTAAACATTTACTGTTGATCCACATCAATCAGCTATGACCTATTCGGCTATTCGTTGTATAAAAAAATTCTACACCATTTTTCACAGCATAGTTATTGAAATTCAACACCACTCGAAAATATGTTGTGATTATGGCAAAGTGAAACATTAGTGGCGATATACAAGTTCAATGAACACCATTTTATACCGGAACGTTCAATAATGTGCAACGGAGGCTGTTTAAATGTCCATTTTAGTCACAGCAGCAAATAAATATATATTACACTATTGATTGATTGGTTCAAATAGAACACCCTAACTATATATTAATACATTTTTTGAATCTCCATAGGAAGCTGAATTCAAAAATAAATCACTTATTTATTTTGAATTGAATTGAATTCAGTGTTCTCGTAAAATGGTGTTGCCAAAAAAAATACCAATAACGTCATTTCTCCGATACGAACCATTCAAAATTTATTACTTAATTGAATTAAAAAAAAAAAAATAGGTGTTCCATTAGAAAAAATTATTGCGGACGTCATTACTCAAATGTGGATCAACCTATAAATCGAAGTTTCCCGTAAAAATTGTTACAAATTGAGATTAAAAATCGACTTGTTCCACAAGAATCCTCAGAAAAAGGTAGTTTGAATGAAAAATTGATTTATTTTTTGCAGATATAAATGGTTTGAGATTCCATTTGACAGTACCAAGGCCGACATGATTTTGACGTTCTTCTACATGTACGCTACATTTTTGCAGTGGTGGCGCTTAGGGGCACTGAAAAACAAACTAAAGGGCACCTTGAATGCTAGCAATGCCCTTTTAGTTTGCGATGACATCATCATTTATGAGACTAAAAAAAGTAGAAGCTTCGAAAATTTACTGTTCCGATCAGAAAACAGAGTCGGGTGCACGGTAGTACCAAAGGTGAGTCGGTATTTTAATTTTAATACGAAAATTTCTGCATCAGAGAAAATTGCTTCGTTTGGGTTTCATGATAGAACAATATTTTTTGGCACCCGTCCGGATAGTAGCACTTTTTGGACCTAGTCCGGAAAGTATGTATTTCCCGAAATCAATTCGATTATCTACAAACGATGTGAGTAGTTCATCTATGTATGCCTCAGATCAATCGACCCCTATCTCACCCATGCATTATCCTTAACTAGAATAACTGCCTAACCCAACGTATTTTGACCATTCTGTGACGTTTCTGATGCTTTGACAAACCCGTGACGTATTTGGTATGTTTTCGAAGCGTCTAAGACGTCACGAAAACGTCACAGAAACGTCACAGGTTCGTCAAAGCATCAAAAACGTCACAGAAACGTCACGGGTTTGTCAAAGCATCAATCAGGTCACAAAACGTCAAACTACGTTGGGTTAGGCAGGTATTCCAGTTGAGAATAATGCATGGGTGAGATAGGGGTCGATTGATCTGAGGCATACATAGGTGCACTACTGACGTCGAATGAACTGTTGATTTTCTTTCAGCAAAAAATTAACTTATCACAATGGCTAACATTTCCCGCAGACTTCCGACATTTCCCTATCCATTTCGAAAACAGGACGCCAAATGCAGTCTATCCGAAATTTCACGTTATCATCCAAGCTATGTTGGACACCTACATCAAACATTCCGCAGATCTCCTAGAGGTGAATTCAATTTTTTTGTTAGTGTAACGCCTTCACCTAACTCTGCAATCACTCTTATTTTGCTCTTTAGGTCGAAAATTTTGGTGAACTGATAGCTTGGAGAGCCTCAGAAGGCTTCGAGGTGATACTAAAGACTGACCTAGATAGGCTTTCCAAATTAGTCAATTGTTTCTCACAGGGAGATTTAGATATCAACCACGAGCTGAAGTTACTCAGAATCGAAAGTAAGCCTCTACAGCAATATACACACACCCTGTATGTTTTCAAACAGAATTTATGTTTCTTTGTAGCCGTAGACGTAGAAGGTGTTCCCACCAAGATCAAATACGATCAGATATTTTCCAAGGACTATGTGCTCAAGTATTCCTACTCGGCTGAGCAGTGGCAGAAGTTTGCTGAAACCGTTAAGCAAATCTATGCGAAAATTCGAGACACCACGTAAGCTACCGACATAAATTATCAACTAGACCGCTAATGCCATAAGATCAGACGTTGAGTACCTGACATTATAGCGGTCTAGGTTGTAGTTATGTCAGTGCCTATTGCTCGATTTCTGCTATTTTCAGCCCTAAAATCACTATAGAAAACGGCAAACTAGAGGAGACAAGGAAAGTGCCAGTGAGCGAAGTGAAACCGATGAAAAAAGATGGGAAGAAGACAGAGGACAAGAATACTCTAGAGGTAGCTGCTGGGGATTATAGAAGACACAAAACAAACGATCACAAAAGAGACAAAAATTCCGAAAGACATTCAAGAAGTGTTGAAGGCAACAGCAAGTTGAAAGAAGAGCCAAAGCTCAGGACAACAAGAACAGATAAGGATGCCAGAAAAGAAGAAAGTAGAAGAGACGACAGTAAAACGAGGAAAGATGAGGCAAAGTCTCTCAAAACCAAAACCGACAAGGAGGAAGTCAAACCTTCAAAATCCAAAGATGACCAAAAAAAATATGAAGCGGCTACTGAAAAGGAAGAAATTACTATCGTAAACGGAGGACATTCTCCAAAAGTCATTAATGACCAAGCACTGGCGAAGTCTTTTGAAGAAAAAGAAGCAAAACCATCGAAGATCAAACCTGATGACAAACATAAGAAGGAAGCCAGATCTACAAGTAAAACAAGAAAAGAAGACCCCGATACAAAAACCCATAAGAAAGACGAAAAATCTTGGAAGTCATCTAAACCAGCAAAGGAAAAGTCCAATACAGAAGCTGGAAAATCTGGGAAAACCTTATCTAAAAGATCTACAAGTTCCGAGAAGAAACTAATAAAAAGTACAGCCATCTGTGATGAAACAGATGCAGATGGTTCAACAAAGAAAGCAGATGAGGAATATCTGAAAATAGATGGTGCACAAAGTAATGGTCATGGGAAAAAAGTGCCAAGTAGTTCAAAAACTGTAAAACCGCCAAATATTTTAGTTTATGCAGATAGCCCTGTGGCCAAAGAGAACGTTAAGAGTGCCATCTCAAGCATGCTAAATAAAGAAAAGTAAGTATAAGTAGTAGACATTATCTTCTTCATAATCTACAAAATTATTTTTTGGTTACCCAAAATTATGTATCTTGGAGAATTTTCACAAATGGCGCAGTCGGTAGGATTTTATTTTTTTAATGAAACAATTTATTAATAAATTTGTGTATCATCTATTAGAAATGTATTTACTGCTTCATACTGTTGCCAATTAGAATTTGGGAGATGTTATTCATTTCGTGATTTTTCATTCTCATGTCTGTGATCAAAATCAAAGTACAATTTGAGTAATTTCAAACTTATAATTGTTGATATTATGTAATTTAATTGTGAATAGAAATACGTATGAGTCGTAATAGTTATTTATGTATCAAGGGCGTAAAGAAGGCTTTTATGGACCGCAGCGTGTAAGTAAGAACACAAGCGACAGCGAGGGCTATCAACACGTCTGTACCCCTTTATTACGTTCGTGAATTCGAGCGATAATGCGCCACTTTACGCCCGGTCATTCATAAAAAATCTTATGAAGCCAAACTGATAAATCAAATATATTAATAATTACCATTGGCGCAGTCGGTAGGAATTCATTAGAAACAATTCAACTACTGAAAAAATTGAGTGTGAACATATTTTTTTAAGGTATACCATCTATGATTTGCCAACGGATCCCACTCAAAATATATGGAACGACTCGACCGTTTTAGTGGTGGTATGTGGTAATGTACCACCAAATTTGACGTTCCACCTGCTGCAGTATCTAGTCACCGGTGGCCAGTTATTATGCCTCTGTAGCGATTTCCTCTACAGCGTCCTTCATACCTTCACCACAGCAGAAGTAGGAATGAAATTCAGATTATTTTTTTTTGACTTATTTCTGAGAACTTTGAGGTTACAACTTGATAGATTTTGTTTTCTCTTTTCATTGAGTTTCTTTCACAAATGCTACTAAAGTATTTTTTCTATTTTCTTTAGGTTAGGGAGCATGAATTAGTGAGATTCACGTACGGGAAATGGGCTCAAGTTAAAATGATGCATCACATTTTCTGTTATCAAGCATCTCCCGCTAAGAAACAATTCTCAAAAGACTCTGACCATAGTCAAAGGTAAGACGATTGATCATAACCTCTTTCCCAGTGCTTTATGAAAAATTTGAATGTTGCTCTAGCATGTGACGTCACACTTCATACTTCATGCCCTTCTGTGGTCCAACTCTACATTAAGAATCAAATCATGGCTTCATTTTAGCTTTTGTTGTTAACCTTCCCTAGCAGTTCTATTTATCGACGCTAGAAGTTGCACCTGATTTTTCGCGAACAGTTGCTAGTGTCAAATTTGTTCAAGTTGTAGTTTGGTGAGATCATTGTTCTAGAAGCTTCATAGCAAACAAATGATTTGAAGCTTTGTATTGGCTTGGTTGTTATGACTTTGACGTCTCTTGTATGTCATTTGAGATCACTTTCATTGCATCACTTCGATATTTTTATGATATAGCAAGAGTATTTCCATCCTGTTTTGCAATCCTGTATTTTCTTAAGGACTAATAATTCACTTTCGGTTTCTGCAATTGAATTTTGTCAATCTCAAACATAGCTACGGTAAGGTATGAAAACCAGCACAGATGTTTATATTACTGAAAGAGAACATTTTTTTCTTCTCGATTATAGCAGTGGTAACGGTTCAAGCCCAATAGCACCACGAACGCCATCTGCCGTTGAAATTCAACACAACGGTAAAGAATACATCATACAAGTACAAATCTTGGGCACCGAAGAAACATGGCAGACTCCAAGTCTACTGTTGGCATCTGTCAAAGGTAAAAATATCGTGCAATAGAGCATATTTCCTAATGTGAGTAGGACTGTCAACTGTCCTGTATTAGACCTACTTTGTTCTAGAATCCCGTTGAAATCACTTACAGGGCACCAAATGTCCCCAATTTCAAAAGGTTTCAATTCAAATCAACATTCTCTTGCATACATCGCCGTTTGAAAAAACACTTTCGCTATGACATGAATACCTGCAAATGACCACGTGCTTTAATTTCGTTGCTTCGCTAGTATCATAGCTTTTTCATCTATCATAGCTCCAACATGTTGACAATGTTGTTGATAATCCGTTTTCAGCAAATTCTCCATTATCGGAAGGAACTTCAGGAGTTTTTCCGCACTGAGTGTATATTTTTATATTTGTTCGACAAATGCAAGTGAGAAGGATACACTGAGTTCAAAAATACTCCACTAGATTCCTCCAATGGCACTAGTATTTTTCGACCTAATCAGTGGTCAGTCAAGTATGTCTTTCCGGTCTAGGACAAAAAAAATTACATCGTTGTCAAATAGTCAATCAACTGATATTAGAGCGGTGTCACCTGACGTCACAACATGGCGCGTTCATCGTTTTTTATAAGATGACGTTGACGTCATAGATGAGAATATAAATTCAATGGATTGGGCCGTCCTATATACTTACAGTTGAATATCACTGGTTGCTACCAACAGACTAACGTCATTAGCACAAAATACCTTTGCCCTCTCAGATAATGTCACCAAAATTACATTTTTATAGGCCAATGTAAACTTTTTTAAGGTGGGGATGGTAGGGCGATTTTCTCGCAGGTCCATCTCGAGATCAATCCCAATCAGTTTGAGGAAGACGAAACTAAGTTCCAGGCACTCAAAGAGAGCGATTCCGCTAGAATGGAGATCCTTAAGGATATCCTCTCGAATCGTTTGGACATAGATTGTTCTACTGGTATGGAGATAGCATATACTCCCGCATATTTTCTGGGACGACATGAGGTATAACAAAAAATGTACACTTTTTATGTGTACTTTGTGTACCTGACCTGAGTCAAGAATATTTCGTAGAGTTTGTTATTTTTTTCTAGATGAAACTGAAGCTATTGAATGATTGTGATTCCATAAAAGACAATAAGTTGGAGTGTGAAAAAGTAGTGTTGAAATTTTGTGGAAAAGACGTAATTCCTGGAGAAGCCGCTAGTAACTTGATGCCTGTTTTGATACACTCCTGTCCATCCAATTTTTCCACAGTCAAGTATTTCGAGGTAACATCAATCTCAACAACCATTTTATTCCAGCTCATTTTTATTTCGTTCTTGCAGGCATTAGAAACTGAACATATCGGTAGATTGGTGATATACTCTGACGTGATGGCCAGTTCTCATAACGTTGTAGCTAAAACATTGGCACACGGACTAGTAGTTATTCCTAGACAACAAACCCAAGGCGTTGGTAAGTTATTCAGTAGGTAGCTAAAATGTCTTGGTTTTCTGTTTTATTTTACCGTTTCGGCATCACTAAGTTGAAATTTTCCATGCTATTGTCTATTCTTGAAAGATTCACAAAAGAACCTTTTACATAATCTGAATCTGATTAATAGCTCATTCTGATACTTCAAAGACTGTTCTCTACTATAATGAACGTCAAATACAAGATAAAATTATCTAACACACATTGAACATTGACATTTGAAGTTATGAGTAACGGCTCTTCTTTCTCACAAAATTGTATGGGTCAAAATGTAAACTCAGTGGTAGAATGAGATATAGAAGCTTCGAGAATTTTTAGTCCAGCAATCATATTGAACATTCCGAGTATAAATAGTATTATACAGTGTGTTCATTTAGTGCGTAATTCTTCGATATCTCGAAAGCCATAACCTATTGAGAAAAACTTTGGATAAAAAAGTTTTTCAGTTACTAAAGTTGCTCATTTCAAAATTATTTTCAACATTACTGGGTGTTTTATAAAAGCAGGGCAACTCGAAGAAGTGTTTTTTTAAATGGAACACCCAGTATTGTTCATTCGGAATCAATTCCGTCGAGGTTCACCTTCACATCGCTGTGAAAAGAATTGAAATCGGTTGCGGCGTTGCCAAGTTATAATTGATAAATCTATTTTTACCATTATTGAAGAGTCATTTTGAATTGGGCATGGTATATTCATTTATTCAGATTTTGAAAATATTTTTGGCATACGGTAGGAGCAAGGTCCAACGTATGCCAATCCAGTTATTTTGCGACATGTTCTTCAACAGGGTGCTCAATTTTGCATTTAGAATTTTGCAAGATTCAGATGACATTCATCAGAATTTTTCAAATGGAACACCCTGTATTTTTATTCAAAAATTCATTTCGACATCTTTCGCCTTTTTATCGCTGGAAAACAAATCGGAATCGGTTGCGGCGTTGTCAAGTTATGGTTGATTTCCTTATTTTCACTACCATTTCGGGGTAATTTGTACGTCATAGTTCTTTCATTTATTTGTATTGTGGAAATATTGCGTTGCTACGGTATAATCAAATTTGTTTATTGACCATTCATATATTTGTTTACAAAAGGAACATTTACAGGCTTGAATTTTGTTCGAAATATTTGTGTAATGACCTGTCAAACATCGCTACAATCAAATATATCTTGGATTGATTCGATATTTCGCTGAATTTCCTCCCAAGAGCCGCGTAGTAGAGACATATTGTTTGTATCATTATGTTTACCTTCTTCAAGGAGAATGGAGACTTGGATTGTGGGAATAACGACAATAAAAATGGCCCAAATTTCAAAAAATTCTCCTAATTTTCGCAATCCGCATCTTCATTGTTTGTATTGTAGAAGTTTCACATATTATTTGAATCATAAGTAGCAAGATTACGGAATATTTCAATTTGGACGATGCATATATCACAAAAATACCTGAATGATTCATGTAGAGCCTCGAATGTCATGTGGCAAGCAATATTCCCACACTTAAATCAAATTAAGGAATCATCAGGACGAACAAATTACCCCGAAATAGTAGTAACAATAAGGAAATTACTCATAACTTGAAAACGCCGCAACCGATTTTAATTTTTTTTTCTGCGATTGAAAGGCGAATGATGTCGAAATAAATCCGTGATGAAAAATACAGGGTGTTCCATTTGAAAATTTCTCATGATCGTCGTCTGAATCTTACAATATTCAGAATGTAAATTTTAGCACCCTGTAGAGGATTATCTCGCAAGATTACTGGATTGATATACGTGAGACCTTGCTACTACTGTATGCCAAAAATATTTTCGAAATTTCAATAAATAAATATACCATACCCAATTGAACATGACCCTTCAATAGTAGTAAAAATGGGTTTATCAATTATAACTTGGCAACGCCGCAACCAAATTCAATTTTTTTTACAGCGATGTAGAGCTGAACTCGAGCGGAATAAATTTCGAATGAACAATGCTGGGTGTTCCATTTGAAAAAACTCGTCTTCGAGTTGCCCCGCTTTTATGGAACACCCAGTATCGTTGGAAATATTTTCGAAATGAGCAACTTTAGTAACTGAACAAGTTTTTTCTCCAAAGTTTTTCTCTTGTGATATTTAATTTCGAGATATCGAAGAATTACGCACTAAATGGACACACTGTATAATATCATTTTTCTACATTCATGCAAAAAACAGAACTTTATTGAACTATATTTAGTGGAAAAAGAAGTTCTTTGTTGCACTTAGTGCAATAAAGTTTTTATTGCACTCATCTGTCATTCTACTTCAACGTGGTGTCATCATGACAAACATTTTCTATAATGCAACTGTGGTTATAGAAACGTCAGTCAAAAATTAATTCTGACAATTAACAGATTCGTACCTAGTGCCGCACCTCAATAAATCATTTTTTGCTTTTTGCATGAACGTAGAAAAAATGTTGTATGCAATAAACATTCACCTTTTGCACTTATTGCATAAATAACTATAGTAGTTATTAGCGATAAGATTATCTCATGCCAAATTCATTTTTTTGCTATAATCATTACAATTACCCGAACTAACCGAAAGCTAACAAATAAAACAATATATTCTGTGGGGACAGAACAACGTTGGACGGAAAATCTCTCAGCGCTCTTTTGTAAAGCCTAAAAAGTTGCAATGAGGAATTGTCTTTTCTTCTCCTTCATGTCCCTAGATAACGTCAGAAAAAACAGAACGATTCCAATGATGGACATCCTTAACTTGGATACAATGTATATCTAACGATCTTGAAAGATGTCGATGTTTTAGGTAGGTCGAATAATGTCTGGATAAGTCCGATAGGTTGTGCGATGTTTTCCATGCAGCTGCATATCTCGAGGAATTCCGTGCTGGGAAAATATTTGCCGCTGGCCCAACAAATCGGAATGGTTGCTGTCGCCTCAGCTCTCAAATCAATCGCAGGATCTGAGGTGAAATAGTTCTTTGAATTTTCACCACTGCCTAATCCCGAACACATCATTTTTAGGATCTGGATATTGGCTTGAAATGGCCGAATGATCTTTATGCAAATGGTTCTGTCAAAATTGGTGGTCTTCTGACTACTTCAGCAGTTTTAAGTGATGTAGCAATAGTAAACCTTGGTGAGTTACATCTAACCTGAGTACATTTATTGTTCTCCATTTGCGTGTATCAACAGCAAGTTCGAGGAGGGCATACTCATTCTTGACTACATCTAGGAGGTCTGCTTTTCGTTTGTTTTTAGTAATTGAGGTTTTGCTTTACTGATGCTAAAAAAACGGGGTGGTGATATTAATTTTCAGATGTTTTTTCGAGTTGTTAATCGATAAATTTGAAAAAATCCATACTTTCTTAAAACAGTTGTATCTTCTCTTGAAAAGAAGATATTGACGTGAATCAAAAACCATTGTGTTGAGAAGGGATCACACTTCAATCTGAAACAAAATGATACTAGGTTTAACCACTCAATTTGCCACAGGGCGTTAAGAAGTTGAGCGTGGAATAGTAAGTTTTGTTTTTTCCTGTGTAATGATCAAGGTATCAGCTTTTTTGGAAACTAAAATTCAGGTTAACATTTCATAACGTCTACGATTTGATTGGAATTTCACTAAAATAGGACAAGAATTAATAAATTTACAGGGCTACCAATTTTAAAATTTTTTTGGTTGGCGTTTTTTTGCCGGTCAGTGTATTACTATTATTATGTTGCTTGATTTACCTAATCCTTATTATGATTTTCTTGAATAATGACAATTATTACAAACCATCAACTCATTTTCCAATTGATGGAATACTATTTCATATATGTTATGGATAATTTGGCGCAGTCGGTAGGATCAAAGGATGATCTACCAAATGAAAGACCACATCGATGAAGTTTGAATATAAGCATCAATAAATATGATTCAGGATGAAGTAGATCAAACTACCTACATAACAAATATAACCGACACTGAAAGTTTCAATTTTCAAAGTTTTATACTTTTCTGTTTCTTAAAAATTGTTCCCAAATAATTGAACTTACTCGAATGATTTTTTTTTAGGTTGTGGCATTAATTTAGACAACGGAAATCCCACATTGTGCGTGAATGATATGATCAGGACTTCCAATGAGACTAAAGGGACAAGTATGAAGAAAATCTCGTATGAGGCATACTTTGCAGCTGTTTTTAATGAAACCGAGAAGATAATGAAAATAGTTCAAGGCGGAGACATCGATTATTTGTACGATTTGTACTACAAATATTGGCTGCACAAGTAAGTGTTTTGACGTAAATACCTGCAAAATGAATATTTCATAAAATGGCACATACAAATCGAAGGGGTATAAAAATTACTGATAATATTCAACGCATCATTGCACAATATAATTCAGACAAATTTGACTGAAAAAAAGTCAAGTATTCATAACTATTTTTACTCCATTATATTTCCCCTTCATCGATATCATTGGGGTATATGAAGGTCAATTCAATTGTTTTTCCTAGTGATAGAGTTTTCGATAGGAAGCTTGAAGGCGATTAGTGCTGCAGGTCAATATTGTTTCTAACGATATCTCGGTAAAAAATTCTCCCAATTTGAAACATATCTTCGTTATTCCTTCCATTTTCATGAAACAAAAGTGTTCTTCCATAATTCTACTTCTCTCGCGTAAAGTTGTGGGTCCAATAAATCTAGCATGGTCTTGCATAAGTTCTATTCTTAATTCCATTCCATCTACAATTCTATCAATTAATTGTTTTGTGACAAACATTATGAGCAAATGATCTATGATTTATATTTTTTTTACAAACACATCAAACATTAACCTGTGGTTTTCTTAATAATTTCATTTCCGATCCTGGGCGGCTTTTTATTCAGAAATACAAACATTTCTTTGACTTATAACTATTCAAGGTCGCATAATTGTCACGTCATCATTTCTGCCCGATCCCTGCATCTAAAAATCTCAAAACTTCTTATAATTGAACGTTTTCAACAGATTTCTTTTTAAATAATCATTTTGGAACATATCAATGGACAGATAAGGTTAGGTTAGGTTGAATTTTTCCAACAGATTTTATTCTAAAGAATCATTTCACAACATTACAATGGACAGGAAGATGACGTCAGTACACGCTGGAATTACTCACTTCTGATATGGTTAAAAAAAGCGATTATCACTGTCCTGCCATACCTTCGCACTGCCTACCAATCTCAAACACGTCTATCTCCGGCCTAACCTTATCGTACAAATGAGGAAACGCCCCTTCAGCCCCAAATTTTTGCCTCACCAACTCATACAAACTCAAATCGAACATCTCCTCGAACTCCCCACGATCCATAAAAATATCAGCGTACAAAAACGAGAAACCCCCCACGTCCCTAGTGAATTTCTCCATGTCCCTCATAGCCCTAACAGGGTTGTACCTCTTCTTACGCTTCACGAACCCCGGTACTCCGTAAATCCCTAAATCATTGTACATGGCATAGTTGGTACCATCGACGAGGTACTCTTTCCTAGGGGCTCTAAGTTGCCCCGATCTGGGACCCCTGTCGTACACCCTACAAGGGTAAACCAGCAGGGGGTAGGCATCGAACAGCTCCTCGGATTTCTGGATCTGGTCTTCTAGTTTCCTTATGGGTAGCACTATGTCTTGGAACACTTGCTTGGTGAAGGTGAACTCGCGCACTCCAGGGGTTGTGGTGAATTTTAAAAATGCTGGTTTGGGGGGTAGCAACCACCCGAATAGCGTTCTGAAGACGTGATTGTTCCCGAAGGGTATCATCGACTCGACCACCCAGAAAATCGCCCTGTCGTGTCTCAAAAGGTACTCTCGCAGCGGTATCAGCTCGGTGTGCTTGCCCTTTTGTAGGAAACCTTCGGCGTACTTGTAGAACCAGGGTTTGTACCAGCGAGACGCGTGGTTGATTGGAAGGGTGGGATCGTGGTCCGAGTAGTCGCCTGTCATTATGACTGCTCGGTCGTGGTCGTATATGGTCGCTTCCAGGTAGTCGGGTGTGTTGTAGTCTGCGCTTGCGTCTCCTGAGAACAACCTATATAGGGGTGTCACTCGTTGTAGTACAGGTTTGTTCGCGTTCACAAAATTACGAGACGGAAATCATCAGAAGCATGCGCAGTGACAAAGAGGTGTTCGCGTTTTCTCAGGACTGTTTCGAATTCCACAGATCACGTTTTTTTGTTTTACTCGAACTAAACTAGGCAACACTAATTTCGTCGCCACCCCAAAAGTCTGCCTCAACAATTACGAAAGATACAGGGGAGCTTCTATTAGAAGTGAGACACACTATATATTGTTCATCTTGAGTCAATTCTGATCTTCATATCTCTTCATCTGAAGTTTGAGCTTCAAAATGAGCCTGAGATTTCAAAAATCGGTTGACGAGGAAAAAAGTGATGACAGCAAAACCAAAAAGTAAATTTTTCGAGATTACTCTCTAAATAAATAAAAGAGATATGGAGACAATTCCAGAACTGTCCCAAGATAATGAGTTCATCTACATGCATCTACTGTCAAAGTTGGAAAAAAAGTTTTTCTTCATTTAGGATCCTTTTGAAAATTCTAAAATTTTTCACAGTTTCAGGTAACACCCTGTAGAGATTTTTATGTGAAGAACCTCATGTTTTAAAGAATCACGAGATTATAGCTGAAGAACTGGGCTAGCGGACAGTGTAATCCGAATTCAAATTTTTCAAAGCAGAAAAAAGTTATTGATATTTTAATAGGGACAAAATTTTGGCGTGCGACGAAATAAGTGTTGCGTAGTTTAGTTTGGGATCTACTACTACTACTGGTACTGGTGGGGGACGTTTGCACATCAGCAACTAGTCCCTAATAGGACCTTTTTGCAAGCCCTAAGGTGTTTTTAATGAGTGATATGTTTCGCTTAAGAGAACTGGCTAACATCCTTTTCAGGCACCGCCCATCAGCTCTCTTTCAGAGTTTTTTCGGCTGTGTTTCGTAGGCTAGTAATGTACTCACTACCATATGCTGCAGTGGCAGGCCTGCTAGCTATTCTCGTTAATCCCCGTTAGAGACTGAGGTCCACTAAGTTGCATTGGCCCGCTCTCACGCTCAGCTGGTAATTTTTCCACACCCACCTACATACACCGTCCAACTTCTTCTCTGATGCTCACAACCACATCATCATCTCTTTCTGCGTGTTCTGTGCAGGCTCTGATACTAACTCCATGCGCCACTCTAGGAGCAGCACTGTTAATTGAAACGCAACAGCGAATCGTGCAGGACTATCCCCAGCCGATGCTCCGAAACTTTACAATATTTAATTCGTTAGTTTGGGATAGTTTAGAATCGGTCCAAAGCAGTACGAGCCTCTGGACAAGAACTGTCTTTGACTGTCATGAATAGTTTTAGATGCGCATGCGTTTATGCAACAGATTTTCAACTTTTCAGCTTTCTTAGTTAAGACATACACTTTTAAACGAGATGAAGAATAGAATTCTTGAAAAAATGTAATCAAGATTATAAACAGTGGGCATATGAGCTTCAGCTCATCGTCCTCTTCAAGTTCGGAAGATAACAAACGTTTTAGTGCCGTTTATGACAGTGAGTAATGTTTCTTGGTGTTCGGCAACATGCGAAAGTGTGAGTAAGATTATATGACAGGTCCCGAATGAGCATGATTCATGTTCTCCAGTTGGATCTCGTGAATTGAAAATTTGAGACCATTCAGATATTTTTTCATTATGGACCGTCTGACTGAATTAATCAAAGTGAAACTGAACCTGATGAAACTGAACTACTGTATCATTGATCCAGTTGTCATGTTTTAGACGATAGAATGGGGTCAGATCAGTCCCTCCACTTCGTCAAAGAGCTAGAGGTTATGAGTAACTCAATTTACTATAAACGGATCATAACTTTCCGTTCAAGAATACATGATGAAAAGTATCAAGGATTGAAAAATATTCGATTTAGTCTATCTTTCTATGCATTCTCTCGATTAATGAACAGAAATGACAGAGTTTGACAACTGAACAAAGTAATCGAAGAAAATCTTGGCTCTTCTAGTAGAAGATGACCGCAAATCAGTTCACTTCTAATGAAATATTTCAATTCGTTCAGAACGAAAGAATATCACTATTGAAAACACGTGTTTCTTGTCAGCTGGTAGCTTCACAGTAATGACAACAAAAACTAAACTGAATCACCCTTCACAAACCTTATGATGTCGCAGTACTCCTTTTGGCCCTTGACTGGTAAATAAGTCATCTTGATGTAGGGTTTAACCTTGACAATTTTGACGGTAAGGGCTACTAAGAAGCCCAAACTCCCGTGCGACCATGGTAGGGCCTTATACAGGTCCTCGTTTTCCTCCACGGAAGCTCTAACCAAGCTACCATCACCTAGCACCACCTCGTAGGAACTGACGTTCTCCTGGTACAGTCCTACCTGATCAATTTTTTATACATAAGTATGTAAGTACCTTGAATGGGGAAGTTTCCTCCTGATGAATTTTCATGAAATAAGTTTGGAAGTCCTCAGTTCTATGTCCACGCTGTTCAGAATGAAGATCGATAAAGTCCAATCGTTTTCATTTTCAAAAAGCAATTTCTAATTTTCGGGGCGACATCTAATCTGAATATAGCTGATGATGAAGAATATAGCTAGTGAACTGCTGAAGAATAAAAAACTAATAAAAAAAATGGAAGATGAAGGCAAGTTGGCGACGTTGTTGATACTTATATAATGAAAAATAACGATGATCAACTGAATAACAAAACAACGATAAACTGAAGACATAGGATAATTAACAACTGGAGATAAAAAAATCGACACAAGTAAAACTGTTGAACAGAAACATACATAACCACAAAATCAGATTACCTCTTGGTGTGCCTGTTAGTTTTTTGTGTGGTATGGATGGACTCAAAGTATTATGCGCTGTTGCAAGATATAATCTGCAACTTTCCTAGAAAATAGATCCGACTGACAAAGTTATGATTATCATTTTGTGATATAACTAAAATGAAAAATCAAAGATACTATTGCAAAAATGATTTATATCCCATTGCTGTCATGATATAGTTATAATGTATTCAAAGTAGAATTTCCGGACATTTAAACATAATGATGATGCCGGCAACGTCGTACTGACACAGGGAATCGTATTCTAACATTTCTAACTCTATGTAAATGTGTAATCATAGGAGTAGTAAAGAAGCCAGTTTCTTTTCATTTAGTTTTTTTCTGAAATGAAAGATCTTGCGAAAAATAGAAAAAATACGTACCTATATCTATTAATTTTTTATAAACTTCACAGTGGGATAAAAATCTCAATATTGGAAACTTCCCCATTAGCTATTTAATGTTAATGTTAAATTTCTTGTAATATTGACCAGTCAGAGACACATGTGAATTGATGGAAATAAACTCTACACTACCTTGTGGGAGTGGGTAGTCATCCCTGTACCCATGGCCAACCCTCCTAGGGTGGCATCTGATATTTCCAAGGTGACAGCCAGAGTGTAGCCTTTCGGTATGAGGTACCGGGTGATGTCTCCCACCGTGACCATAGGTTCCACTCTTACCTGTTAAAATGTAGAATCTCGTAATGTAAACAAATCGAAATCTTACTAAAGGAGCTCGATGATAGATTCACTGGGTCATCGCGAAGCAGTTCTTTCCCGACTCGAGATAGTATACCGGGCGAGAATAAAGCAATGAGAGTGGAGAATATGAAACAAATAATGAAGACTGATACTGCAGATGAATAACGACGTTGTACTCACCGACGGTGGTAGCCATAGAAATCATATTATATATGTTACCGGGTAAATCCGATTTGAGGATAAACTAGTTTTTCCTAGGCTAAATCAGTATATCCGAAGAGCGATAGGATGAACAAGGTTGTCCTAGTCTAAACTACTTCGTACTACTTTGTTAATATTTTGTGAGGAAGGAACATACACCTCTATGAGTAGATCATTCGGGAATCAGTCAAGCTGATTGATAAAAAATTCAATGACTACGTTTCCGAATGATCTACTCATAGAGGTGTATGTTCCTTCCTCACTAAATATTAACAAACTAGTTCATCCTATCGCTCTTCCGATCTGAACGTGCACATAAATATTAAACACAACATATCGCTATATAGTACTCATTTCTAACTGCTAACTGCCTCTCGGCCTCGATATTAGAGAGTTGATGTACACACTTCGTCTTCTTAACTCACACAAGTCTCTGACTTTCGAGGGTTGCTTTGCAACTAAGCTGGCGGTTAAAAACACTTTTAAACACTTTTTTTTTAAACACTGTACCAGGTGAACAACAAAGAACGGCTGTCGGCGTGATCTGGAGTATCAATAGATATCGTGAATTTAAAATGTGATGTATGCATATTATTACACGATCAAATAGAGAAACTAAATCTCAACAGACCAACGATAACGGCAGCATGATAGCTTTTCGCTAATGGAAGATTTTGACGATCAAAGTTGGAAAAGGGATTGATGACAGCCGTTCTTAGTTGTTGACCCTGGAAGTAGACCTCCAGGTAGATGTTGACGTACGGAAAATAACGTTTACGAATTATCCTTAGATCAAGTTGAAGTCATCAGTGTCAACTTAACGTGAAAATTTAATTTTTGTTTTCGGTTTGTTTTGGTCTTTTGTGGTTGTTTGTTTTGAACATTAATTCGTGTTAAAATGAGCGAATCCTTGAAGAAAAACTTTTTGGGGATCCAGGCTTCAATAATCTTGATTCAATGGCATATTTCGGTTAACGTACGATGCTCTTATGAAGTTCTCCACAAGCTCATCTCGTCTCCTCACCGTATTCCGAAATTCTACCTGATATACAGGGTGTTTCAAAAAAACCTGACCCCCTTGCTAGGGTAGGTGGAACACTCCAAAATAAGTTGGGTTTGCTCTGTGAAAAAATGTGGTAACGGCATCCGTTTTCATGATACAAGGTGTTGAAAAAATGATTTTTTTACACATTTTTCACGATTATGTCGAAACTACTGGCAACATTGTGACGAAATTTTGTACGGATGTTTCTTGATATCTGACACATCGCTTGAATTTTTTTTTATATCTGACTCTCATAGAGGGCACTAGTTACACGGTTCGTACCGAGTAGTTTAGAACATAACTTTTTTGAGGTTTGATTTTTCAATCCAGATATGATATGGACTTGAACCTCATTCAATTTTACACCAAAAAGGAACTCTTGGTGAAACTCGATATTATGTTCCGTTTTTGGAATATTTCGATTTGAAAATAATGGAGTAGTTGCTGGTATAAAATGAATTTTATTGAGTTCAAGTACCTATTTATTCAGATTCAAAAACAATAAAATTATTGCTTTTGGGTGTATGATAAATTGACATTCATCATACAGGGCGTGGAAATGAATTCTGAATTGAGACTCTATCACGAATCTGCGATTAGAGGTCTATAAAAATCACAAGTTTCCATCGTTCAAGTTTGAACCCCCTGATTGGGTATGAAAGTGTTGAAAAGGAATATTCTCAGATAAATTATGAACATACAAAAATGGATATATATTTATATAAAGCAATACATTGAGAATTCGCATTCTCTATGTGATGAGAATATTTACTCTTTTTCAGTTAATTCAATAGAAAACAACTACTTTCCTGGCTATATGCCACGACGAACATTGAATTATATCTATTGAACACACACGATAAGAGTTTGAAAATAAAATATAAACATTTCTGAAATTGAGAATTTGCATTCTCCTTCAGACAAAAAATATGTATATCATTCTGAATATTCAACAGAAAACAACTACTTTCCTGGCTATTTGCCACGTCGAACATTGAATTATATCTGATGAACATTCAAAAGGGGAACATGAAAAATAAAGAATAAAATCCTCCGAAATTGAGGATTGGCATTCTTATTCATATCGGATGAATAATATGATGAATAATGATCTAGAAATATGACTTACCAATATATTCAGCATTGAAATGAAAATTGGAATGTATAGGAGAAGTATACTGGCATGAACTCTCCTATACATTCCAATTTTCATTTCAATGCTGAATATATTGGTAAGTCATATTTCTAGATCATTATTCATCATATTATTCATCCGATATGAATAAGAATGTCAATCCTCAATTTCGGAGGATTTTATTCTTTATTTTTCATGTTCCCCTTTTGAATGTTCATCAGATATAATTCAATGTTCGACGTGGCAAATAGCCAGGAAAGTAGTTGTTTTCTGTTGAATATTCAGAATGATGTGTGTATATACATATTTTTTGTCTGAAGGAGAATGCAAATTCTCAATTTCAGAAATGTTTATATTTTATTTTCGAACTCTTATCGTGTGTGTTCAATAGATATAATTCAATGTTCGTCGTGGCATATAGCCAGGAAAGTAGTTGTTTTCTATTGAATTAACTGAAAAAGAGTAAATATTCTCATCACATAGAGAATGCGAATTCTCAATGTATTGCTTTATATAAATATATATCCATTTTTGTATGTTCATAATTTATCTGAGAATATTCCTTTTCAATAAAATTATTGTTGTGCTGAAGTTATTGATGGAACAAAGAATCATAAGTAGAAAATTAAGAGATATTTGACTATAGAAACATGAAATATTGAATAAGTTAGAGTAAGTGTTCAATAAATATCTTACGTTTCGACGAATACACGATTCTATATTCTTTTCTTAAGAATGTATTAGATTTCTAAACAGTTGAGGATCAGCTGTTAGGTCATTTAAGTGATGTTCAATTATGTCTCACAACTCTTGACATGAATTTACCTATGTAGCATATATAGACTTTTTGCTCAAGATACAACAAAACTGTGTAATCCATGTTCATAGTCAAATCTGTTTCGATGTTTTTCTTGTGATTCATTATTAAATAGATAAGTTAAGTATCAGAATTTTATTGTTGTTTTCGGTTTTCAATAACTAGGTGATAATTTTTCATAATACTCGCTCTAATACATAGCCTTATACCAGCAACAGTTATCACTTCATCATTTTCAAATCGAAATATTCCGAAAACGGAACAGTGTATCGAGTTTTACCTGGAGTACCTTTTTGGTGTGGAATTGAATGATGTTCAAGTTCACATCAAATTTGGATTGAAAAATCTAACCTCTAAAAAGTTATTTTCAAAACTACTCGGTACGAACCGTGCAACTAGCGCCCTCTATATGAGAGTCAGCTATAAAAACATATGCATGCGATGTGTCAGATTTCAAGAAAAATCCATACAAAATTTCATCACAATGTTGCCAGTAGTTTCGACATAATCTCAAAAAATGTGTAAAAAAATAATTTTTTCAACACCTTGTATCTTGATAACGGAAGCCGTTACGAAATTTTTTTACTGAGTGAACCCAACTTATTTTGCAGTGTTCTATCTACCCAAGTGAGGGGGTCAGGTTTTTTTGAAACACCCTGTATATGGTGAGTACGGAAAGACGGTACAGGGTGTATCAAATACTAATTGAAGAATTTAATAAAACAATAATCTTGAAATTGAAAAACGTTTCATACCGTCAGATTGTCAGTGTCCAAATGTAGTATGTCGAAGAGATCGATGTTGACTCTATGGCAAAGGTCTTTTCTGTAGAAAGTGGTACTCAAGCTGAGCCAATTGGGTCTTGAAGTGCACAAAGGTTTCCTTTCTTCTTTCGGTTGTTGGTTCCATCTTTGGACTTGGGCTTGGATTCGTCTCACTCTTTTGTCGTGCTGGTTAGGACTGGTGAAGAAGCTTCTGTGGAGTTTGGTGCGCAGGTTGAGGAGTAGATTGAATACGAAGCTGGCTGGTAGGCAGAAGAAGAGAATGACTAGGCCCCGGTTGCTTTCCAGGAAGTCTATGAGGGCGTGTTTCCATGTTTTGTTGGACATTGTGACCACTTGATAGACTTGGTTTTCATCGCTTTTAATCTGTCGTATGCAGTGCTGCCAACTCAGCCATTTTATGGCTAGTTCTAGTAATTATGGAACTCTTCTAGCTACTAAAAATTGCATCTAGCCATTTAGCCATCTGTTATCCTGACTTTCTAGAAAACTTTTTTCATATTTGAAGGGGCAAGTGGAACAAAGAGTTATGTTACAAATATGAGTTCTTGAGAAAAATGAGTTTTAGTAAAGTTAGCTGACATTTTTTAACGGAAGCTAGTTTAATAATTTGATTTATGCAATTGTGAGGAATAGTTTTAAGTTGAATTTTTATGATTAACAGCATTTTGCTATCATATCATTTTCTGATAAACGTCTGGATCAATGCATACATAACCCCTTCTTCCATTTCCTTACATGTAGGCAATGGGCACAGAGCTCCTTCTTCCATTACGTAATTGAGGTTTAATGCAACATAGCCTCTTCTACCTCTGTGTATCTGCTCAGGTATGAAGAATGGAAACAAAATCCTGACAGGGCAAGTACATATGCACAAAACACCTTCTTCCATGACATAACCGAATATTTTCGGAAAATGTTACTTCATCTCTTCTTTCCCATAGATAGTTCATATTCATGATCTAATCTAAGTCAAATTCAGACCAGTCTGTATTTCTATGGATTTTGTACTCCATGCTGTGTGCCATTTTGAAAAATTGAAGTTGACGTCGATGACGCAACACATTACGTCATATGTCAATGTCAATACACTAGAGTCTATAGTAGATATTGTATTCTATGGTCTATTAACCATTAATAAATAAAAATTAACTTTTAATGTCAGATTCGTAGTTCATGGTCAGATTTTTTGTTCTTGCTAGAAACATTGCAAAAAATGGCTAGATTTGCCTAAAAATAGCTGCTTTTATTTTTAGCCATAATTTAGCTATTTTTCAACAGTCATCTAGATGCATTCAAAATTGATGTTGGCAACACTGGTCGTATGTCAAGTTCAATCATCTGGTATTTTCGTTGTTGTAGTGGGTGTCAGTTGAGACTATGAGGAAACGTTAATCTCGTATCGGTGAAAGTTGTATTTTAAAACAAGATTAGATGTATTTCTTATTGGGGAATTTATTCCTTTATTCAGATTTTTATTTGTCCGTGAAAAATCATTACATACGTATTCTTTATTTTCTCAATAGGCAGAGAATTCACTTCGGAAGCAAAACTGAACTGCCACACAGAGCTATAATGCGATTTTGCTAGCGCGACTGCTACGCTGCCGTTTCCATATACAGTCTGTCCAAGATATGGATGTCTATCATTGGGTAAAGTTGATGATGGTTTCTCCGAAACGAAACGTCGTACGGAAAATCTATCAACGCTGTTTTGTAGAGCTTATGAGAGCAATGAGAGAGTCTTTTGTTCACCTATATCTCATTAAATAACGTCAGAAAAAATTGAAACGATCCCCATTATAGAGATCCTTATCTTGGACACAGTGTATATGTTTGGGTATTGAGACATTCTGTATATGTATTGCCTACGATGATACTTCATTTTGATCTTGGCTACTTTATATGGAATGATATTCGTAATCTTGATTTTTAAATTATTTAGGGATGCCTGATGAAATGACTAATCAAGACGTAACATAGATATTTCAATAATATTTGGAATACCTCGATCCATTATTCAAAAATAAATCGTGTTTAACACCAAACCATACTGATAGCTGCGAATCTATTGAGGTTATGTTTTCATTATTCATTGTTGTTCTCAGTTTGGTAATCTCTTCTTATTTGACGGTCTAGTATTATATATGCGCTGTTTTCGTTGTATTCGCACTTGTTGATTGTGATCTAGTTGCTGTGATTTCAGTTGAATTCTATCTCCATGGACTAATTATTCCTCAAAATTGTAATATTTTCGGATATCACTGGTGGTGAGCAATGAGCTCTAATTTCATTTTCATTCTTTTTCGATTCATTCATTTTTCAGGATATACTAGTAATCATGATGAGTACCCAAGTCTCATAAAAAAGTGAAACGTTTATTTCATCCTTCGTTTTCAGATCGGTCTGGTTGAGAAATTTGCTTTCCCATTAACGTATGAAACTGAATTTCGTCAATACTCATCTTGATGATTGAGCGCATTGGGACATATCTATTAGATTCCAATCATAATAATATATGGTAGTACCAATGTCACCTTCTGAAGGATTTCAATTATTATGGAGTTAAACAATATTCATCAGCCCAACTGAACTTCTAATCTAATTCACATGCACGATTTGACCTTCAGTCATGTTCATTGATTATTAGTGTGAGATAAAAAAATACTAAGTAGGCACCTTATGAGAATGTAATACAGGATAGCACAGTATACAGTAAAGCCAAATGGACAAGAACACAATTGAATTCAATTTGAATATTCATATAACTGGAATATAGTAGTAAAATATCATGAATGCATCAATTTCTTGATATATTATGTATTTAAAAAACACCATTTTGAATATCCTACAAAGTGTTCGGCGGCAAACTCGTCTATCTAATACTGACGTCATATTCCCTTTTCCTGTGTTGCCAGCTGTTTCAATTCAAGGAAGTATCAAATAAATATTTCTCAATTTTTAAATCGATCCAGCTGAGAACTGTCGAGATGATTCAATAATCATTGATGTAGTTATTATCATCAATCTAGGCTTTACCCCTATTGTCAATTCTATAAGTTTATAGTTTTTTTTTCTCTAAATTCCTATGATGTTCGACGAACGTCGTGCGTGCCTTGGGATGATAGGGAATATTATAACCCTGTATCTCGAAAACGGAACAAGTTAGGACACATGTTTAAATGAACTTTATTTCCTTGAATGTCACACGGAATCCCCCCTTGAATTTTTTCGGTGTTATTGAAATACACCCTGTATATTTATAGCCCTGATTTTTTTCAGTGACAGTGAAGTTATGGTGACGACGAAAGATGGCAAATCCGAAAAGGTCAGGATAGTCGGCATCGACGACTATGGATTTTTGAGAGTGAGAACTCCGACTGGTAAAATAACCACCGTACATTCAGACGGCAACACGTTCGATATGCTGAAAGGACTGATTTTTCCGAAAACGTTTTGAACGCAACTTTATAATGATGGCTAACATTATTGATTGTCCACCACATCGCGCCACTGAAACGTTAGGTCAGAGTTTGTAGAACTGATAAATACCGGGTGTCTCAGATCTTTTCATATAGCCAATATCTCAGTTATGCTGCCTGGGGAGGAAAATTACACTTTTGTCGAACCCAAATGACTTTGAGGCCATTGTGTCAAAGTCAACTTAGGTCAAACTATCCCTGAAAAACCACCTCAACTTCATTTTTCCAAGTTACACCCTATAGATTTTTGTGTTGATTAATGAGGTGCAATAAATTCTTACTTCAACAATGTATCCCACTTGATATTTTGACAAACGTCAGACTTCCAAAATAACAAAATTCAAAGGAACAGTGTCAGGTGTAGGTCATTTCTTTTGTTATGATTTTTTTACAGTTGTTCGTGCACTTGTCTTCCATTCAGTTATTTGACAGTTCTACACCTTTTCCAGTGAGAAACCGTCGATTGTATTTCAGAATAGTCACTTGTATTTCAGAAAACGTCAATTGTATGTCAGAATAGTCAATTCAATTTCAGAATCCGTAAATAATATTTCAGAATAGTCAATTCAATTTCAGCAGGCGTCAATTGTATTTCAGAATTGTCGATTGAATTTCAGAAAGTGTCAATTGTATTTCAGAAAATATAAATTGAAATTAAAATGACAATTCCTGAAATACAATTGACGCTTTTTGAGATTGAATTGACTAGATAGATAAGATAGATAAATTTATTCGTCAATCAAAGATTATACAAGGTATAGCTCACACACAATGTACAAAACTTATCAGACTAGTCAAACGAAGAAATGGTTACAAATAAATACAATGCTAAAATAGTGTACCTAGTCACAAAGACAGAATATAAAATACTCATAAATACACATCAGAAACATTGACAATATTTGAACATGAACAATTATAAAACTCCTCCACACTATAAAATGCATTTTCAAGAAGGAAGTTCTTCAATTTATCTTTGAATGAATTATCATTCAAGTTTACATCTATTATGTCTCGTATTTTATTGAAACATTTGATACCCATATGCTTTGGTGAATTTTAACAGACTGTCAATCTTGAATAGGGCTGTCGAAATTTGTCTTTATTCCCCTTATTATACATATGCATATCTTCATTTCTCATAAATTCATTTTGGTTCATTTTTATGTACATATAGTTCAAGAATATACAAACATGGTAGGGTTAGTATTTGAAATTTCTTGAAGAGTGGTTTACATGTTTTCATTGGATGAGCATGACAAATTGTTCTAATTATCCTTTTTTGTGTTACAAATACCCTTTCAAAGTGACAAGAGGATCCCCAAAATATCAGGCCATATTGCAGAGTTGACTGAACCAGCCCAAATTAAAGTAACTTCAGAATGTTTGTAGATACAGTATCTCGCAGATTGTTTATTACATAGCATGTAGTGCTTAGTTTCGAACATACAGTGTTTATGGGTGCTTCCCATGTTAGCTTACTATCCAAAGTAACACCTAAGAACTTGATAGTCTCCACTGATTGTATAGATTTTCCAGACATGTTTAGGTATAGGTCATAATTTGGCTTTACGTTTTTTGGCAGGAAACGGACATAATTGGTTTTTTTGTATTCAAAATGAGACCATTTTCAAGGCTATACTTTGCTATTTCTTTAGATGCATTGTTGGTCAATTTAGTAAGTTGGTCAATGAGTAGAGTAGAGTAGTTTATTTGACCATGTTATATACATACAAATATATTTATGGCAAGTCACAATTAAGAACATGTTTCTGAAGAACAATATCAAATATTGAAAAAGTAAAATACAAAGTAAATAATCAAATAAAGAAAAATAATTGATATTAAAAAAGTTAAAAGGTAAAATTTGTGAGGATACCTAAATTCTAGAGTATAGAACAGACAGATTAAAATTCATATCAGATCCTTGAAAAGTATGGTGAAAAAAAAAATAATAAATTGTGTGACATTAGAATATTTGTATCAGCTATTCTGAAATACAATTGATACTTTCTGAAATACAAGTGACTATTCTGAAATGCAATTGATGCTTTTTGAAATTCAATTGACTACTCTCAAATACAATTGACGCTTTCTGAAATACAAGTGACTATTCGGAAATACAATTGGAAAAGGTGTAGTCAGTTTGTAGGTTTCTTATACATTCAACTAAGACAATTCTTTTTACTAATTCTACAAATGAGTATTCATCGTTGAAGTCAGAATTGATTGCCCTTCACGAATTAACAAAAATATGTATAGGTTGTTATTTGAAAAATGAAGTTGGCAGTGGTTTTTCAGGGGTAGTTTGACAGAAGTTGACTTTGAAACAATGGCTCCAGTCATTTGGGTTTGGCAGAAGTGTATTTTTTTCAATAATTTTTTTTTCCTAGCAGCATAACTGAGATATTGGCAGAATGAGAATATCTGAGACAGCCAGTATACTTCTTCTTTTTGTGTCATTTGGTCTCTTCCTACAATCTCCTTCCCCGTCAATGTAAGAATTGTTCGTAAAGTTCCATATTAAGAGTAAAATAACGTAAATCTGCTCAAGTCCTTCCATTACTTGAGGTTCTCTATTGGTTCAAATAAAAATTTTGTGATTTTTGATTTTGACATTGACCTCACGTTTTAGTAACGTCAACTGGTAAGACTGATTCCTCTTCATTGTTCCTTCAAAGTCTCTCTTTCATCGAATATGAGGGGACATCGGGTCGGATACTCACTCATTATTATCGAAAACACTCATACGAGCATTCCGTACGAGTTTTACACTAAACTCTTTCTACGGCTGTACCAGATAACAGCGAAAATTTTGATATCTCCGGCTTGTAGCCATCTGATTTTCTTTTAAAGTCTCGAAAGTAATGCTCATCTATCTGACAGAGCTGTCATTGCTTGAAATTTGACATTTCATGGGATATGATATTTTGTGAAATAATAACACAATCGAGTCATTGTGATATCAGATACGAAAATGAAATTGATTGATCGACATAGTAAAACAGAGCAATTTTGTGTTATAGCCCTAGCAAAAAAAAATCATTTGAAAGTGCTATAGCTCAATCTCGGTACTTTCGAAGAACGTTTCTTCCCGAGAGCTTGATTGCATGTTCTCATTAACACACCTGGTATATATTGATATAATTAACTTTAGAAACCGAGCATTAACGTTCTGAATAAAAACCTAGTAGTCCAGGTATATTGTCTGTTCACTGACCCAAAATATGTCATGTCTGCCTGCCAATGGGCGTGTACACCTTAGTAGAACTTTTAACTCAAACCATGTTTATAATGATCCTTTTATACATAAATAATGATTGGCGATATAATTCGATCGAACAATTAACTGGAATGTTTCATTTTTGGACATAAATATTAGTACCTTCTGAAAACGGACCCACTTATGACGTAGAAACCTCATCTCGCCATAGTTAAAAGAAAATACCAAACGCCCGACGGAGACTGAGGCAACTGATATATTAATTCTTTCGACTGTGATCGCGCGCTAATTCACTCTGTCAGAAATCATGTATCATTCATTTCTGCCAGGAATAGTCTTGTTTCAGTATTAGGGTTTTGACGTCACATCATCGCCTCGTTTTCAGAGGTCCGAAAAGTCGGGGATTTCAATAATTTTTTATAAAACGTAGGGAGCTCACAGCAAGAAACGGTTTGCGGTGGTGAGCTAGTTTGGGCGAGTTCTATCGAATTATGAAATAAAAAATCTTTGTGATATAGGCCCATTGTGCTGATTTACTTTTCTGAAGGCAATCCAACTCAGGTTAGAATCAATATGGCGCCTAGTTGGTACGATATACAGGGTGTCTCTTGACTTGATACCCATAGCTTAAGGGCATATTCGAGAATTCTAAGGCGAATAATATACAGGGTGCCATTTGTAATTGGGTTCAAGGGAAGCGCCATCATCGATGATTCAACCCTTGTGGATTTCAAATTTTCATCTCTTCAAATAAAAAAAAACTGCAGGCTGTTACATGTCTCCTGTTTCACCCGGTATAATAACTTTTACTTCTGATATCAAGAGGATTTCGCGTATAAAAACGATTTATCACACATACATAATTTCATTGTGTTCCAACCAGCGCATAGTTTGACGGGTCATTTGTTTGAATCGAATATTTGTCAATATGGAGAATTTGAGGTTGAAGTTTTCATCTTCCTTTTTTTAAAATTGTACCTAACCAAAGGTAGAGAGGATTCTTCTCTGAACTTGCTCCAATTGACTTTTGAAAGACTATACGCACAAAGAATATTTTATGCACGACCGGTAGTAATAAAGTAACACTACGGACTACGGCCCGATTTTGCAGGCGTAAAGTGGCACTTTAACGCCCGGCGTATACATAATTCTTAATAGGCATAGACTCTTAATAGGTTTCGTTGAGCAGAAGACAAAAACGTCAATGTCATTCGTGGTCAAGTCACTGAATTGTAAAAAAAAATCTGAAGGGTTTCTTCCAAGCAGTAATGAATTTGCGCCTTCGAAGTGCCCACCTGATGATAGGTTAGATATCTGTGTCATTTTCAATTCATCATATAAATAATCCGAGACTTTCGAGTCCCAAAAGAGGTATTCTAATGATTGATATCTAAGATATCGACGTATGGAGTTTCATGTCTGATAGTTGGATATTTGGTGTCCAACAATCATGTCTGCCAAAATAATTGTCTTTACCCGCTGTAATTTTTTATATAAAAAGTATCCTATGTCCTTTCTAATACATCTAAGAATATGAATACAAAGTTCCATGATAATCGGTTGAGTAGTTTTGGCAGGAAAGCCCGACAAACAAACTTACATTCACATTAATAATATTCGTAGGGATAGAAATAGGGATTAGTAGGGATAAAAACAAAAAAAATCCTTACTTCTTTTAAACACTTGTATCTTCTCTAAAAAAGAAGATATTGGCGTGATTCAAAAACCATTGTGTTGAGAAAGGATCACACTTCAATCAAAAACATATCGAAGCTAACTAATCACTCACCTATGCCACAGAGCATTACGAAGTTAAGGGTGTATAATGAACTACGAGCCGTAGGCGAGCGAAATTAGAGCAGCAAGCTGGAGTATGTCAATCGAATATTTCTAGGAAAAATAGTATCACGAGTTGTATTCGTATGACTATTTCATGATTGAAGGAGACAATAACTTTGATTGAAGAAGAGTACTTTAAGAAGGAATTTGAATTCTAGTATTGTTGTGTCAGACCGTCAACAAATATGCAAACTCTTTAAATTACACATGAAACGTCCAGCCAGAATAAAATTGTCTCGCCTTTCGTACAAAGTGTCTCACTAACGCGAATTATAAGTAAATGAAATGAAGTAGGTACCTAGGTTATTGTCTCAGATTTGAATTCAAAGCAATCTTGACCAGACATGATGTCAAAATTTTATCGCTGATAAACGAGGTTTGTTGGTCACGTGTGGGTCAATTCGGCTTCTGTATTGGTAAAGCAAGTCCGATAAAATTTAATAAACAAAAAATATCGCTAGTATACAGAAGAAACCGTGCAAATGGTCGATTCTGATTTGTTCTCGAGATCAACAGTGGAATAGTCAAGAATAAATATTCAGGCTCATTATTATGATGATTGTTTCCTCTAGATCACTTATGCGAAAAATCGATTTGTTTCTACTTATCACTGATAATGTTTCGTTTTTCACTATCTAGCTGTGATTTTCAGAGATATGGTAAAGTTCTCAACAATACAAAGGTAATTATGCAGTTCCTGCCTCTCTATTTTTAGCTTTTTATTTCGTCTCATCTCATGGAGCGCACGAAAGGGAATAAAATTCAAATAGCATCAATATCGAGCTATCTTTTGATAGCACAATGTTCTTTTTTCATACTTGAGATGTATGAGAATTCAACAAACTTCACTGAAAGGCGAATTTTAGATAATTGACAAGACTACGAAACATTTCTGGGGTTAAGATATATAACAATTGAATAGCTTAGTTTGTAAAAGAAATAGAGAGGTCGCTAGCTAACTGAAAATGTGGTTAACAAGGATAATTTGCGCTTTTTTTTTCAATAAATAGACGATATTATACCTTGCCCACTTTCAATTTAGAATGACAATTGTCAATATAAAAATGTTGTATATATCCAGTCGATTATGCTACTGTTCGGGGTTGTTTCTTTTATAGATGTGTACTTGTACAATGTGTGCAATAGAATAAGTCCAAATCGTCGTTGTCTGGTGAGAAACAGACTTAATTCTATTTTCTCGAATAGGTTGTTAATTCAATTGTTGATACCATATAAAATATAGTATTTTAATATCCGAGAACTTCTTCTATTAAATATTTGTTTTTCTATGACAGTGTTTCATTCTATCATTTTCAAGTTATTGCCTTTTATTGGTTGCGATAATTGTTGATACTATTACAAAACAGTCGGTAAGCGATTATCTACTTATTCAAGATATTGTGGATTATACAGTAGGATCACGTAAAATTCTACTGATAATGCACTTTCATAAGCACTTGTTGATTTGATATGCAAATCAATGAATGCAAAGCTGATGCAAATACCTTGATAAAACCATAGAATTTGGGCATATAAAGATATTTTCAATTAATTTAGAATTAGTTTTTTCTATGTGAAATTGAATGAGTAAAGGGTAAAAGTAAAAACAATAGGACAACTCTGAAATAAAGTTCTTTAATGGGATTGAGGTCCATTTCTGGATGTCATCAACTTATTGTGAAGAAGAAAATTTCCTATCATCTTCAGTTGAAATAATTATAACCTCTTGAAAAAACTATTTTCATACCTAAAAAAACTTTGCGACATTTCTAGTTGTCTGCAAGAGTTACTTGTTCATAATTTCTCAAGAAAACTTGTTCAGAAAAATTGGCCACTCAAATATATCAAAATTATGGTATGCTCAATGACGTCATTACTTTAGTTTCGAAGTATAAAAAAAGATATAAACAAGGCTTTCAAAATGTACCTTAATCAATGAAATTTATTTGAGAATTTCTCTCCAGTTTTTTTACCGCGTTCTAAAGATATAAACAAGGCTTTCAAAATGTACCTTAATCAATGAAATTTATTTGAGAATTTCTCTCCAGTTTTTTTACCGCGTTCTTCCTCTATAGTAGAACTGAGACATCAAGTTTCGCTCATTTACATTGTTGGTATTCTTTTTTCAAGTTTCATTGATCCAAAACTTCTTTTTTGAGTGTTGCTAACTGATATATACATTGTATGTATTATTCATTTGATTATGAAATAATTGTGAAAAATGTCGTTGTGAAATAAAAACAAAATGTAATTACCCTAATTCACAATTATTAAATTTATGGGAACTATTCAATTGAGTCGGCAATTCAATTCTTGACTTTTACCGAGGAAATAGATTATTTGATAACACTTAATTGATACTTTAATCATATAAAATGTCAATCGAAATCCTCAATATATATTAATATCGATGGTGAAAGATAAGATAAAAGATGATTGTTATTGAGAAAAATTTCGATGCAAATAATGGATTTCGATAAATTATCGATTATGTTTATATAAATGAAGTGTGCTAGATCAGGTTATACGATTTTCCAACTTCAGTTGAGTCGTAACCGTCAAAATGAAATCTGGTATTCTTCTTCTTTTGGTCCTCGCTTCTACACAATCTTTGCCGCAGGTAAGAAGTTTTCAAATCACCCACAATTTTTTTTTAGATATTGGTAAGTCATATTTTTATATATCATAATACATCATATTATTTTATCCGATTTAAGAGATGATGACAATTCTCAATTTCAGAGAATTTTGATTTTTCATGCTCTCTATATTTGGATATTCAACAGATGTAATTCAATGTTCGACGTGGCAAATAGCCAGGAAAGTAGTTGTTTTCTGTTGAATATTCAGAATGATATTATGAGCGTATCTTTACATGAAGGAGAATGCAAATTCTCTACTTCAGAAGATTTTGTTTTCAAATTCTTATCGTGTATGTTCAATAGATTTAATTCAATGTTCGTCGTGGCATATAGCCAGGAAAGTAGTTGTTTTCTGTTGAATAAACCGAGATTTTTATGTTCATAATTATATCTGAGAATATTCCTTCCAATGCACACAAATTGTTGAAAAATTTTACAAGCCCATACTGGCCACCAAAAATTTCTGAGATTTTTTTTCCTAAATTGAAGGGTCACAATTGAGAAATGTAATATGGATAAATCTCTTTTTTTTTTTTTTCAAATAACCTCATCTTCTCTCGATATTCTGTTTTTGTTTCACTTTATTATCATCTAATCAGGCGCTTTTTCTACCTTAAAAAGTCATTGATGAAATCAGAATCAAGCTATCTTAGCTCTGAAAGAAGTACAGTAAATGGACAAATCTGATTGAAAATGGCAAATTCAATATCAATTAAAATACATTCCTTTGCGTCAGGTTCTGTCACTGAGTGCCAAAAGGCGATAATGAAAAGATCAATTGCAAGAATAATTTGCCATTTTTATGTTGAAAACGGGAGCAGATTTGTTCCCGAGCTGTCCAAAATAAGTGAATTTCACATTTTTCAATACACTTATTTCTTCTTCAAACAATAAGGTGTCACTGATTATCGATTGAACCTGGGAGAGCAAATGAGGTTCCTAATATTGAAATTTCAAGTGTAGAGTGACATTTTGAACACCAACTCATTATAATTCAATCAAGTTTGGCTGACCAGATCCAAAATTCAAACGCAAAAATTGTCATTACAAAGCCACGTTTATAAATTTCTAAAGAGAGTATACAGGATGAGTCATAATTATTGGGACATAGGTTGAGGGCGCATTTTTGGGCCTAATATTGGGATATGATATAGGACCAAATAATATGCCTTCATAAATCATTGCTGTGGAAAAAGTAATTCACCAGCAACAATTATCTGACAGTTAAGGCCTATTCGATCTTATCGCCCTATTTTAGTCCAAACAATCCGCACTTTGTCCCAATAGTTATGACTCACCCTGTATAAACTTACTTCAAAAACGAATCTGTAAATTCTCTTCAATATAAACGATCTGTATATATTTTTTTAAGATTAATAATAATCTTTATTATTCCCAAGAAACATATATATATTGAGCGTGGTATTCCACAAGGATCAGTTTCGGGGCCAGAATCAGTTTCACTGCATATAAATCCAAATCAAAGGAGAACATTCTCAATTTCGAGGAGATAAATTTTGTCAATTTTCAGTCCCAGCGGTATGAGGATTATTTTGTCCACCCCTACCGAAGGGAACCCCAACCCCTCAGGCCAGGTTTGCGTATTATAGGGGGCCAAGATGCGCCCCCTCACGTGCTACCCTACCAGGTGGGCATCTACGTCTATTCTGCATCGTCGACAGACTTTTGTGGGGGCTCCCTGATATCCACAAATTATGTGTTGACAGCCGCACATTGTGCAGATCAGTAAGTAGTTTTTTTGATCTTTTGGATCGCAAGAAATGGAATCTCTTTTGTGTAAGTTGGGGTGGATATAGGAATAGGAGGTACCGTCAACTGGGGTGAAACAGATCAAAATCTGAGTTTTCCAGCGCTCCAACCAAAGCACATTCCTTGAGAGTGTCTACAAAATATATATGATTCGCGGTCATCGATGCTCATCAAAGCATACACGCTCCCATTTCTATTTCACTTGCACTCCATACAAAATAAGAAGTCACCCGCCTTGCTTTGTTCGCTAGCTGCCTTTCTGGATCCCGTAAAGGAGCCCATAGACTGTGTTGTTGGTGGGCTGTTTTGTTCGTCGAACAAGTTCCTATGTTCGAACAAAAATGACGCAGAACCGAAGTGTGTGATGTGTGGCTAGCGAAAACGACCAGCCACACACTTCGGTTTTGCATCATTTTTTTTTCCAACATACTTGTTTGTCGAACAAGACAGCCTGCCAACAACGCAGTGTATGAGCCCCTTTAACGAAAGCATTCATTCCATCGCCTAGCAACAACCGTGAAAAATAGTTATCTAGTATACAAGGGAAAAAAGTAGTAGATTTTAGCTCCAGGTTGGAGCGGAGCGGAGGGAGACAAAAAAACCGTGAGCTAAAATCTAATATTTTTCCCGTGTATAATACACTATTTTTTTTCTGTGACAGAAGAAAGGACGAATCAATATTGCGAAGATATTATTATATTATTTTGAAATCTGGAAATTATCGACGTGAAATTTCAAGTTTTTAACAGTAGGGACACCTGCGTTGTAAGCATCTTCATCATTCATTTGAAGTAATCAAATATATGATGTCACTTCTGTCAGTCTAATTCTGTGATTTGATCTCAAAAAATTGCGAATTTAGTGATTGTTTAGTAATATACCTAACCGCGAAGTCGAATGGTAGATAAAAGGACTTGCAAAAGCCATCAACAGTGTATATATATGTGATATATATCCGGGAAAAAAGTAATTTATGAAAAGTGACATTTTATAACCTACCAACAGAGATGAAATGCCAAAATTTTTTTCCCGTCACAGAAAAAAGTTTTTTTTTTCAACTTTTCCGTGAAATAATGACACAGTATTTAGATATTGAAAATTTGTACACTTGATAGACACACAAAAATTATTAAAAAAGAGTTTTTTGTCAGTTTTCGGAAAAATTGTTTTTTGAAGAGTATCCCCAAACATTTATGAAATTGTTAATGCAACTGAATATATGAGAATAAAAAATTATATTTACAAATTTTCTTCAATGAGGATTTTTGTTTTGTCAAAACTTTTATATGTTTGCACTACTTCAATTGATCCCAAGATACTTCTTCTCATTAGTTTGTTTCGAAGATTCAATTCAATTTCGAGATTTAAATTTATATTTTGTTTATTTTTTTGTTGAAAAATCATATAATCAGTTTTATTAGTATTTATTGGTAAAAGGTTTGAAGGCAGCTATTTTCAGGTTTCATCATGTCTTTTTTTTTCCGAGTCTGTTAATTATATTTTCTAAAATGATTTTTATTTTCATATAAAAGTACCGTATCGTCTGCATAAACAGTATAATTACTTTCTGTTTCAATTTTGATGATATTTTGAATATATAATAGATATAAGATTGGTCCGAAAACAGATCCTTGAGGAACACCTTCAGTCATCGGTAGTCTATGAGTCTCTTAGGTGGTGGATTTGATACTGATTGTCCTATTTTGAAGATAGGAATCTAAAAGGTTCCTTATCATGCCTCTGAGTCCCATTGATTCTAAATTTTCCAAAAGTGTTTTCGAAAGCCTTCATGAGATCGATGAAAATTGCTGTAGCATAATTTACGATATCAAGCCCTTTTTCATACAATATGCCTTTTTGTATTGCTGGTATTACTTGTAATGTTGTGAGACAACAGTTTATTTGTATCCCACATTTTCTTCGGGTTGCCTTCAGAGTCTTCATCAACCTTTTTATTGAAAATACTTCATTCTCTCATAGTTTGGTCGATGAACACAAGTTGTTTGCAGAAACCTGCATACCCTCATGAAACTATACTACGATCCACTTCACCCCAGTTGACGGTAGTCTCCGTTCTATGGACGAACGAGTTTTGGTAAAGTGTTGTTCGACATAGTGCGATGAATAATGTCCAATATAAATCAATTTGACATTTTTTTGATGAATTTGTTTCAGAGCTATGAAAATGGATTTGGTATTTGGGGCACAAAACATCTCGGATGAAAGCGAGGATACTCAAATCCGCATTTCCTCAACGGAATTCATTGTTCACGAAAAATGGAGCCGCGCAAGTTTGGCCAACGATATTGCTCTGGTCAAACTAAGTACGCCGATCAAAGAGAACGATGTCATCAAAATCGTACCGATCGCCAAAGGATCAAACTCATATGCAGGAAATTCCGGTAAGAAAATCAATTCCACAGTTGAATCAAAAGACAAAAAAATAATCTTCCCAGCAAACATCAAATCGGCAGATTGCTGACCATTGGCCAAACTGCATTGGTCAAACGTTGGGTTATTGTATGGCATATTGTAATCGTTTGCCTATAATTCAGCCGGCACTAGGCCAATAGATCTACTCATATTTTTGATGACTGTAGTTACTGAACTTGATTGAAAATGATGATATGTTGTTCAGTCTACGGTTGCTTTAACCTAATAGGTAGCCAGAAGGGTGAAAATAAAAACATCTTTTATGTACAGTGTGTGCGATTTCAATCCGCAACACCCTCCTAATTCGGAACCCGTCGACCGATTTTCAGAAACAAAAATTCCATAATATGCCACTCAACGAGCTCTATTCGAAAATGTTAACAAATTTGAAATATTCAGATTTCCTACTTATCTTTGTTCAAGGGGTCAAAATTTCAAAAACGACTATAACGCAATTCTTTTTTTCGAAACAGTGACTTTCCTATCCGATTCAAGCATAGCTGAAATACCTCTATACGTATTTTGAACGCAAAATCTCATATAGAGTGTTAGTTATTCAATGGAGAATTTTGAAATTTTTGATTTTTCGATTCACCCTGTATCAAAATTCAAGGACTTGATATAACCGGTGAAGTAATTATTCAATACAGGAACACATCGAACACATAGGTACGAAGTTTCATCGCTGTAACTTCTACAGGAAGATCTCTCTAGATCAACCAAAAATCAATAAAACTAAAGTTGAGATTCACAATTCTGAGAAATCAAGTAAACCGTATTTTACACACTACACTACACAGTCACTTAGAAAATTGTCTTGTTTGATAAAGAGCTGTCGAATATAACACAAATAGAATGACAGACAAATACTCTCTAAAGACTGCTATTTTGGCGAAATGGAATGAATATTTCCCCGGATTAGTCACCATTATCTATATTTCCTGGAAAAAAGTTATGGATCATAATAAAAAAAAAATCGATTTCAATCTCATTAATTATTGGTTGACGTAGAGAGATCTTTGTGTAATTATTCACTATCACAGATCCTATGTTTCATTTACTATAGAACCCTTGAATAACTCATGAAAATCATCCATATCTCCAAGTGGTCCAAAATAATTTCAAAATGAAACAAGTATTACAATGTCGGTGGACCACACATAGTTCTACTTGAAAATTAAAATCACTAACATAGGTATTCTGACTTTTGAATAAAAATATTTTGATCCGATTAGACATTCCCTCTTGCATGGAAACATCTAAAAATGAACTTCGTATATATTCTGCAGTCTCGAAGACTTCTGAGGGTCGCTCGTAAGGGGGCAACCGAATGACGGATAGAACAATTTTACAATTTCACAACAAATTTTACAATTACCGATATCTTGCTCATAGCTACCGCCGCCTATATTGAATAGAATTTCTGACTTCATTGCTCTCATAAGGATGGTTCATCTTGTTAGTATAAATAATCGAGATATAACTAAAAACTGGAATGTCGAGAGAGGCAAAAAACGGCTCTCTACGGAAATATAAGGCAGAGGAGGAAGTAATATTATTAGACTGTTGTATACCTACACCTCGTTAGGGTTTGGATAACCAAAAAAATCTTTCAAATTATTGTTGTTCATGAATATAAGTTATAAAAGTTGATTTATCTTCCAAAACTTTTGAGAACAACTGAACAAAATCTGTCCTTATACATAGTCGCATACATAAACGAAGATCATTTTTATATAACGGTCATCATCAATGTCATCTCAAGTCACCTTTATGATGAGTTTCTCTGTCTTAAAAATGGTTCAACTATTTTTATTGTTTTCAATTTAATGAATGTTTTGCATTGATGTTTTAGGGATAGTGTCTGGATGGGGAAAATCTCAGGATGACCAAACTACGGTTACCGAAATTTTGAAATATCTAACCAGTCCCATTCTCAGCAACTCTCAGTGTAGTGAAGCCAGTGCGAGTTACGCGAGAATAATGAATCCTACGCTGCTGTGCCTATCAGGTAGGAATCTGTAATATTTTCATTTTCAAAAGTATGTGTTTCTCTCAAAATTTGTTGAAGAAGGCTACTCCCTCTTATATGTTGCCTTATTGCTTTTATGATGAATTTGTGTCAATGATAATTATATTAATTCACACTAGTGGACATTTGGCCCGGTAAACGTGACAACAAAGGATTGTGGGCGTTGTCTCGTCAGTTCTCAGCATTCAGCACAGCATTGCCAAGTCAATATTATATATGTACATAATGTTTTGATATGGAGTAGAAGGAATAATATTTTGGCAAGCTGGTTGCTCAGAAAATTATCTGATTAATAACTATAATATCATATGAAATATCTCAGGTGGATTTAGTTTCATTCAACGATTTTCTGTATATTGTTGATATTTTATTGAAATTATTTTTTGAACAAGATCCCCAAACATTTATTAAATAGTTGATTCGACTCAGTATATGAGAGTTGAGAATCATGTTCGCAATTTTAATATCAAGTTTGGGACATCTTCTCAATGCACCAATATTTGGAGATATCTTCGTTGTCAAAATATCAATATATTTGGCCCACTTCAACCTGTCATCAAACCAAATACCAAGAAATTTTATCTGGTCAGTTTGTTTTAAGAGTTCATTTTTTATTTGAAGGTTGAGATAAATTTTTTGTTCATTTGTTTGGTGAAAAATCAAATATTCTGTTTTATTAGTATTTATCGAAAAAAGGTTAGAGTGGAGCCATTTTCAAAATATTTTCAAGTCTTTATTTATCGTATTTTCTAAATTTGAAGGATTCTTGCTTTCATATAAAAGTACCTACTGTATCATCTGCATACATGGTATATTTACCCGCTAGACCAATTTCACTAATATTTTGAACAAAGTAAATATAGTGTAGGTCCTAAAACAGAGCCTTGTGGAACACCCTTATCAATTAATAGTTTATTTGACACAGAGTAGATTGATTTCGTATTGATTGTCCTATTTTCAAGATATGAATTGTAAATATTTCTCACAGTGCCTCTGAGTCCCATTGTTTCTGAGTTTTCTAAAAGTGATGGATGATTAACTGTGTTAGAAGCCTCTTTGAGAAAACAGCTACCACATAATTCCCTGAATAAGTCCTTTCTGGATTGATTCTATCACTTGTGATACTACTGCTTGTGTTCCACTGTTTTCTTGAAAACCAAATTGATTAGAATCAAAGCTATATTTTTTGTTGATGATTTCTGCAATGCGTTCCTCATGATCTACAAAGCGCAGATACGGCCTGTTCTAGAATACTGTTCCCACATATGGGGTTCAGCACCAAAACATACGCTGATGCTCTTAGAATCCATCCAGAGAAGAGCCATTCGCCTGGTGGGTGACGCCACACTCACTCACTCTTTGACATCATTGGAACACCGTAGAAAGGTCGGCGACCTTTCACTTTTCTATCGATACTTCCACGGGAAATGTTCTTCGGAAATCTCTGCAATTATCCCTTCACTAGCAATACCAATCAGACGAACTAGACAAGCCCAGTCAGCACATCCTTTCGTCGTCAACCTCGAAAGATGTCGAACAGCAGTTTATCAAGACTCCTTCATCCATAGAACGGCTAGGCTCTGGAATTCGTTGCCTGTGGAAGTATTCCCAACAACATATAATCTCCAAAAATTCAAAAAAGATTCCAATACCTACCTCCTGTCCCTATCCTCCCTAGGAACGCACGATGTTCTTTGAACATTATAGGGATTCCCTTTCGTGCGCTCCAATCGATAAAAAAAAAGAAAAAGAAAAGTGGCGATGTCCTCCATAGAGGGACAGCTGCAAAAAAACTTCCTCAAAATATGGCAGGACCCACCAGGAATGAGACAATCGAAGCTCCACATAAAGGAGCCTTCGAAGAGACGCACAAAAGAGGTTTTATCCCTCAACAGGCGAGACCTTAAAATGGTAGTAGGGCTCCTAACGGGGCACAACCACCTCAAAAGGCACCTAGAGCTTATTGGGATCAAAGATGATCCCCTTTGCAGATGGTGCCTGGAAGATGACGAAACGTCATCGCAGGTCCTCACTGAGTGCCCAGCACTGACACATCAGAGGAGGGCTGTCCTTGGCAACATCATTTTGAGGCCAGAGGACGTGAAAGAGATTCGGCTGGGGCAGCTGCTGAACTTCTCCAAGGAAGTCAGCATACCCAGCACAATGGGCCCGAATAAGGAGGCCTACGTGCAAGGATGTTCACCCGCCCACCAGTGCTTCGAAGAAGAAGATGCTTATTAAAGCTATTGGTCTATAGTTAGTAGGATCATTAGCATCTTCATTTTTGTAAATAGCTCTTACTCTCAAACAGTTCTCTCCATGTAGTGGTCGACGGAGTTTCATCTGACTCTCTTACCATAAATGCTGGTGTTCCGCAAGGATCAATTCTTGCACCAACACTATTTCTACTCCATATCAACGATTTGTTGGAAGCAACTTCATGTCCAGTACACAGCTTCGCGGATGATAGTACCCTCGATACCGCCTTCTCTTCCAGGGCTCCAATACCAGCCAGGCAAATCAGAAACGAACGAGAAAGAAATGTTGACAACATAAATATGGACTTGGCAACAATTCTCGAATGGGATCCAATAACTTGGTAGATTTCAATACAAACAAAACACAAGCATGTATTTTCTCTATAAAAGCCGATCTCACTGTGCCAAACATAAGCATGTCAGGAGTAACCATACCTTTGAAGACATCCATTTCGATGCTTGGTATTACTATCAGCAATAACCTTTCTTGGGAAAATCACGTGAGGTCAGTTGCTAAAAGTGCATCAAAAAACCTTGGTTTTCTCTTTCGGGTCAGGAGCTATTTCACTTCCAGTCAGCTGCTTATGATCTATAAGGCACAGATCCGACCTGTCCTGGAATGCTGTTTCCATATTTGGAGTGCGGCACCCAAACGTACCCTGAAACTGTTGGATTCTGTCCAAAAAAAGGCAATTCGTCTCGTGGGTGATGCCTCGCTCACAAACTCAACTCAATCACTTCTCTGGAACACCGTAGAAAATTTGGCGATCTGGCTCTATTTTATAGATATTTTCATGGACGATGGGCTTCTGAAATATCAACAATTGTTCCTCCCTTGGCAGTCCCCGCGAGATTAACCCGTCGAGTTGAGACTTCGCACCCCTTCATGGTCACTTTGGAGACCTGCAGAACATCTCTTTCCAAAGACTCGTTTATCCAACGAACAGCGAAGCTCTGGAACACACTGCCAAGGGAGGTGTTCCCCGAGGCATATAACCTCCACAAATTCAAGAAGAACACCAATTCCTACCTTACTTCCCTTGGTTCTCACGATGTTCTCTGAACATTACAGGATATCCCTTTTCGTGGGTACCAGAACATAAAAAAAAATGTTTCAGTTCGATTGATGTTTTCAGGGTCGGGCAGTGTCGGAACTTGCGGAGGGGACTCGGGGGGCCCTCTGGTGGTCAAGGGCGTCCAAGTAGGTCTGGTTTCTTTCGGATACAAGGTGTGCTCCGCCGGTTTGCCATCGGTCTTCACCAGGCTCAGCGAATACAATTCTTGGATCGCCAGGAATTCCGATGTTACTTTTATCTAAATTTGATGATTCGAAATAAAAAATTGTGATTTGAGAAGGTAGTGGGTTTTATTCATCTACATCAGAGTAGCTCTGGAAATGAATCGAAAATGCCATCAGTAATTTGTTCGTGTACTTACTACCTAGCAAACATAGTTACATCACAGAGATATTGCATCGATGTAACAATAAATTGTGGCCTGCGTTATCGTATTCTATGTCGCATAGACATCGCTGCGATGTCAGAGGGATGTTATTTTCTCCCACTCAAGTTTCATCGATGCGATAAGTTTTCTGCGATATAAATGCGATATATTTCTTGCAATGTAGTTCCGATATGTTATTTGTGATGGAATAGCGGAGCGTTTTTGCGATGGAATTACGATATAATGCGAGTTGATATCGCAGTAATACATAAAAAAGTTTCCTCAAATATGGTGTGAAAATACGCCAATAACCTCTGATGATATCTAATATTGATTCCATTCAATCGTCTGTTTTGCAGCGTTACTTCCTGTACCAACGCATCTTCATCAGGATGATATCAGTTACCTACTCGTATTTGTATCAATAAATATACAGTGTGTTTCGGCGAGATGTAAGCAAACTAAGATTGGTTTGATTGCAATGTAACGAATGTTTGCGAATTTAGCTTCAGTTTGTTAGGTAACGTATATTCATGTATTCTTTCTCACCGAACAAGAATCAAAATAACAAATTTTCGAAAATTTCTCACACATGAGTTTGCTCCTGTACAGCAATGCAACATTCGTGATATCGCAGTGTTGTCTCATCATGACATATACAGTGTGTCCCTAGACCAGTGGGACAGTTGAATATCTCCTGAACCAATAGGAATTTTAAAAATATTATGATTTCACATCATATCGCATTATGAGTGCTAACTTCAGGAATGACTATATTTTATACGAGGGGCACAAGTAAGACTCACAAAATCGAACATCGATTTTTTCAAATGGAACACCCTGTATTTCATTGCATTTTCAGATTCTCCTTGATGAGCTGAGTTCAACGACCTAGCACACTTGGGGTCTAGCAGAAATGATTTCCGAGATATAGGGTGTGGAAAATCGAGATTCTTCATTTCTGGGAATTTTTTGTGACGAAACTATTCATTATTGGTCAAAACGGAATACATGTCCAGATCTTAACTTTTGATTTACTATTTACTCGTATTTAATTGAAACAAATACAGGGTGGTGTAGAATTCTGACTGAAACTGAAAATACTGCACGACCCTGTATTTGTTTCAATTAAATACGAGTAAATAGTAAATCAAAAGTTAAGATCTGGACATGTATTCCGTTTTGACCAATAATGAATAGTTTCGACACAAAAAATTCCCAGAAATCAAGAATCTCGATTTTCCACACCCTATATCTCGGAAATCATTTCTGCTAGACCCCAAGTGTGCTAGGTCGTTGAACTCAGCTCATCAAGGAGAATATGATAATGCAATGAAATACAGGGTGTTCCATTTGAAAAATATGATGTTCGATTTTGTGAGCCTTTCTAGCGCCCCTCGTATAAAATATAGTCATTCCTGAAGTTAGCACTCATAATGCGATATGATGTGGAATCATAATATTTTGAAAATTCCTATTGGTTCAGGAGATATTCAACTGTCCCACTGGTCTAGGGACACCCTGTATATTATGTAATTGATATACAATTACAAAATATTTGGATTCTATTTGATTCAATGATTAAATGAATAAATAATACCTACTTTATTACTTATAGCAAAAAAAATGTGTTCCGGTCTTCTGAAATGAAGACTGAAATACCTTTAATGACAATGCATAGGTACCTACCCATAATTGAACGAACACATAATATAATATAATTGTTCAATTCGCAACAATTGTGAATCGGATGAGAAAAATAGCAAATAAATAAAACAAATGTCAATATAGATAAAATAATTATACTGACTCAAGGTGATAAGTACATACCATATAATATATTATATTTTTATATGCCTTATAAATATGTTCAATTTCGACGCGGTGTTTTTGGTAATAATATAGTTATCCACTCGCCTAAATTATTCATAATAGAAAACCATGAGAATACTCTTTGTATTATGTGCTTTCATTTTGACAGGAGTCGAATTACAGGTAATATTTCGTCTTCAAATATCATTTCACAGTGTTTAAGCTTCGTAAACGGAATCCTTCAATCATAATTAAAATTTGAAAATCATTGTGCAACATGTAATAAACGTCAATTCATGTACTGGTTGCCTCCTTATATTGCAGTTAATGTTCCGTCTTCAAATATTATTTCATATTGCGCAAGCTTTGTAAACAACAATAACTTTCAATCATGATTAGAATTTGATAATTATTGTGCAACATATACTGAGCGTCAGTTTCATGTACAGGGTGACTTTTTTCTCTATATTATATTTCGTATCATCAGAATCTTTCGCGAATACAAAACAATTTTAGGAACAAGTTTCGCAAGAAGACGTTGACCCTTCAGACTCCCTTCTCTATCTGAAGACGAGTCTTTTCAAGATTGAGCCTAGAATAATAGGGGGTGCTGACGTTGAGCCCCATTCTTACCCCTTTCAAGCGATACTCTTCGCTACCTACGAAAAGGAAACGAGCTTCTGCGGTGGCACGCTGATAGATCGAAGATGGATACTCACTGCGGCTCATTGCGTCGACAGGTAACTTTTTTTCGATTATAAACCTGTCAGGAATACGAAATGTTTAGAAAAGGAATATTCTCAGATATCATTGAACTTATGTCACTGTGTGTTACTGGATATTTTACTCTGCCAATTCTATCATTAACACACAGGATGTTACATATATTTGGAGTACCTACTGTTGATCGAAAAATTGATAAAACTTTTTTCTGAGTCGCCACTGAACAGATCTCAATGTTTTTTCATTCTCTCATTCAATATCTAACTTTCAGCTCTCTTGAAAGTTTGTGATATTTCTATAGGTTTGCAAGTTAATTGACTAAATTCAATATGATGCATACCTGATACTATTGAAGAGGAATATTCTCAGATATAATTATGAACATGAAAAAATGGATATATATTATATATTTATGAAGGAATACATTGAGAATTCGCATTCTCCATGTGATGAAAATATCGATTCTTTCTCGGTCTATTCTACAGAATGCAACTATTTTCCTGGCTATATGCCACGACGAACATTAAATTATATCTATTGATCACACACGATAAGAATTTGAAAACAAAATCTTCCGAATTAGAGAATTTGCATTCTCCTTCATATAAAGATATGTACATAATTCATTCTGAATATTCAACAGAAAACAACTACTCTCCTAAATACTGTCTGTAGGTTAATCGAGGAGGTGGTACATTCATTATTCCAAATTTTTTGGGATTTTCTCTCCTCGTTTCTATAAAATAAAAATATTAATATTATTTCAATATATGTGTAGTAAGGACAAATCAGATGATTTGCCCCAAAATGTCACTGCGTTTGGAGAATTTTCCTATCAGAGAGCCTACAAGAAAAATTCACTAGCTTGTCAGTGACAATTTGTATTGAAAAAATTTTGGAGAAGAGAAATAAAGGTATATAGAAAAAATATCAAATTTTCACTTATCTTTGGACGGTTTGGGACCGATTCTGCTCCCGTTTTCAACATGAGAAGAGATTATTTCAATAGCGAAGTCGTATAATATGTCTTGAAGCTTTTCAGTTTTCAATGACAATTGGTGACGTTGGCAATCAAATGAGTTACAGGATGTTTTCATTAATCAATCTTGAATTTACCATTTTCATGTTCAGAATTTAGTAGTGGATACCATGTTCTGTCTATATCAACTGAACAAGAAGCAATGCTATTGTCTCCGTTCAGAAGAATGCAAGCAGATTCCTTGATTTTTCTCTTCTGGTTGTTATCTTCTTTTTCAATGATTTTAATATTATTCCACTCTGCCATATGTTTGTCCGTCTTCAGTAAGGACGAAGGAACATAATAAGTACAATATAAAGAAAAAATATAAAGTTGAACAACATCAGATTCAAATTAGGTGAACTATCGATAGATTTGTTAGTTTGACAGAACAACTTGTCTATGACTATAACAATTTTGGAGGGCTCATTTTATTTTTCACTGTTGATTCATGAGCTGCGGTAAAGTAGGCTGTGCAAAAAACTCTGATATTCTGACAGTTCATACTTCATCAAGCAGGGGACTTCTCCAGGAAATCTGGATAGAGTGAAAGCAACCCTACTAACCCTACTAACGACCACGTCAAAAATCCGCATTCGAAAACCATATCTATGAAAGAAAGTCCAAAATTAATTAAACCATTTATAGCTCAAAAACGACTGAACCGATTTGGCTGAAAATTGGTGGGGACACGGACAATAGATACTTTTTATCCCGGTACTATAAGGAAATTCAAGATGGCGGATCCAATATAGAGGGGTTCTTTATTATGATACGATTCAATACAAAATATGTATCTGGGGTTTCTTGGAGATTATGGTCCTTCGTGAAGATTGGAAAATTCAAGATGGCGGATCGATTTAAAATTGGTATCTGGGGGTTTTCTGGATCGGAAATTATGATTCCTTCGTCAAAATTAGTGGGGTCAAGATAGCGGATCCAATGTGGCGAGTTTTGTAATTATGATCCGATTCCATTCAAAATTTTCATCTGGTGGGGTTTTAGGAGTCCGAGATTATGATTCTTTCGTCACAATTGGGAAAAACAAGTCAACTAAAAAGGAGTAGAAAATGAATGGTAGTTTGAAAAACTAAAGAAATACGCTTTTATAGATAGCCAAACGGAAAAGAAGTGGTAAAAAAATAGTGTGTTGATGAATATTCAACTGAAAAAATATTCTCTTGAAATAGAGCATAATATAGCAAATTAACGTTTGCGGGGTCAGCTATAGTAAACGATAATTATTACAGTTCAATGTTCTGGAGAGATAGGTTTTTAAACCAAGTGACGTTCATTTTTCAGCAATCCGAAGTACATCGACATCTTCCTGGGGGCACATAACCTCACAAACTTGGGAGCAAAAGATACAATTCAGACTTTTCGATCGAAATCCTACAGAAAGCACGCTGATTACGACAACGAATCTTTGGTGAACGATATAGCCATAATCAGACTGCCTAAGGACGCAATTTTGAACGAATACGTGAACGTTGTTCCAATATCAAACGGAACGAACACTTATGCTGGCGAATACGGCACTATTCTGGGATGGGGAAAAACTGATGATGGATCAGTTTCCGATACGCTCAAAGGCGTAACCGTTGAAGTGATATCAAACGAAGCTTGCAGAAGCATTAATCCGGCATATGAGATAGTAAGACCACAAAACAAACTGAATATTTTTCAAGTGATAACTTCTTTATAGGCCCGTTAGGCTCGGGATTGGAAGTAAACCGGCAAACTCGTGTCTCGGAAGCGCACGTACCATAAGAGCGTCATTATCATACAGTGTGACCCACTTCTAATGGAAACACCTCTGTATGGTACGTAATCGTTGGGTAAGGATCCTGAAATTTCCTGGAGCGAGAGATATACAAAAAATGCACGCTATGACCATGTGGGGGTCATCTTCAGTGATATACACTGCTTGCCAACAGCCATGGAACCACCACAATTTCCGGAAAATATTAGGAGTCAAAATAGGTTGAAAATCACTTCGGATTCGGAATGAGGACGCCCAATTCTCTAACTATTCATATTTTTCCTGAAAAATTTTCAGTTCTGAAAAATTAAATTTTGTCGCACTTTTTACGGAAGCACCCCCGTATCTTACGTAATTGACTTCATCTCTGGACTTTCCCTTCTGCAAATTTCAGAACCCTACCTCAATAGTCACGTGAGATACGGGGGTGGTTCCGTAAAAAGTGCGACAAAATTCAATTTTTCAGAACTGGAAATTTTCCAGGAAAAATATGAATCGTTAGTGAGTTGGGCGTCCTGATTTCGAATCCGAAGTGATTTTCAACCTATTCTGACTCCTCATCATCATTTTCCGGATATTGGGGTGGTTCCATAGCTGTTGGCGAGCAGTGTATAACACTGAAGATTACCCCACTTGGTTATATAGTGCATTTTTATTCGCTTTTATTGCCAAAAGGAGCACTCTGGTAGGCTGCTACTACGTCTGCATTTTCCAAAATTTCTCGATTTCCACCACAGATTCGTTCATAACGACATCGAATTAGTCTATGTGATTTTTTTCTGATTTTTAATAAGCCAAATGAAAATTTTCATTTTCCCACCTAAAACGATATAGTCACCGAGCCATCTTCGGACGGCCAGTAGTGCCAGAAAACGGCGAAAACCCACGCGAATTATCGCTTTTCCAGTAAAAAATGAAACGCTGAATCGAATGAGATCATGATATGCCCGATAGGACAGATAGTTTTCGAGATATTGGTACTCAAAGTCAGCTCTTCGCCTTTATTGCTAATAGGAGCAATCCGGTAGGCTACAACGTCTCCATTTTCCAATATTGCCCGATTTCCACCATAGATTCTTTAATTACAACATCGAATTAGTCTCTGTGAATTTAGGATTTCTAATAAGTCAAATAAAATTTTCATTTTCCACCTGAGACTTCAGTACGATATAGTCACCGAGCCATCTTCGGACGGCCTAAAGTGCCAGTAAACGGCGGAAATCCACGCGAATTATCGCATTTCGTAGAAAATGACACGCTGAAGCGAATGAGACCATCATCAGCCCGATAGAACAGATAGTTTTGGAGATATCGGCGCTCAAAGTCAGCTTTTCGCTGTTATTGCCAATAGGAGCACTCCGGTAGGCTACTACGTCTGCGTTTTCCAAAATTTCTCGATTTCTACCACAGATTCGTTCATAACGACATCGAGTTAGTCTATGTGAATTTTTTCTGATTTTTAATAAGCCAAATAAAAATATTCATTTTCCCACCTAAGACTTCCGTACGATATAGTCACCGAGCCATCTTCGGACGGCCAGAAGTGCCAGAAAACGGCGGAAATCCACGCGAATTATCGCTTTTCCAGTAAAATATGAAACGCTGAATCGAATGAGACCATGATCAGCCCGATAGGACAGATAGTTTTCGAGATATCGGCGCTCAAAGTCAGCTTTCCGCTGTTATTGCCAATAGGAGCGCTCCGGTAGGCTACTACGTCTGCATTTCCTAAAATTTCTCGATTTCCACCACAGATTCGTTCATAACGACATCGAATTGATCTATGTGAATTTTTTCTGATTTTTAATAAGCCAAATAAAAATTTTCATTTTCCCACCTAACACTTCCGTACGATATAGTCACCGAGCTATCTTCGGACGGCCAAAAGTGCCAGAAAACGGCGGAAATCCACGTGAATTATCGCTTTTCCTGTAGAAAATGATACGCTGAATCGAATTCGACCATCATGATCCCGATAGAACAAATACTTTTTGAGATATCGGCGCTCAAATTCAGCTATTCGCTTTTATTGCCAATAGGAGCATTCCGGTAGGCTACTACGTCTCCATTGTCCAAAATTTCCTAATTTCCACCACAGATTCGTTCATTACGACATCGAATTAGTCTATGTGAATTTTTTCAGATTTTTAATAAGACAAATAAAAATTTTCATTTTCTCACCTAACACTTCCGTACGATATACTCACCGAGCCATCTTCGGACGGCCTAAAGTGCCAGTAAACGGCGGAAATCCTCGCGAATTATCGCTTTTCAAGTAGAAAATGACACGCTGAAGCGAATGAGACCATCATCAGCCCGATAGAACAGATATAGTTTTGGAGATATCGGCGCTCAAATTCAGCTATTCGCTTTTATCGCCATCTGAGCACTCCGGTAGGCTACTACGTCTCCATTTTCCGAAATTTCTCAATTTCCACCACAGATTCGTTCATTACGACATCGAATCAGTCTGTGTGAATTTTTCCTGATTTTTAATAAGCCAAATGAAAATTTTAATTTTCCCACCTAAGACTTCCGTACGATCTAGTCACCGGGCCATCTTCGGACGGCCAAAAGTGCCAGAAAACGACGGAAATCCACGCGAATTATCACTTTTCAAGTAGAAAATGACACGCTGAATCGAATGAGACCATCATGAGCCCGATAGAACAAATAGTTTTTGAGATATCGGCGCTCAAATTCAGCTATTCGCTTTTATTGCCAATAGGAGCACTCTGGTAGGCTACTACGTCTCCATTTTCCAAAATTTCCTAATTTCCACCACAGATTCGTTCATTACGACATCGAATTAGTCTATGTGAGTTTTTTCAGATTTCTAATAAGCCAAATAAAAATTTTCATTTTCTCACCTAACACTTCCGTACGATATAGTCACCGAGCCATCTTAGGACGGCCAAAAGTGCCGGAAAACGGCGGAAATCCACGCGAATTATCGCTTTTCCTGTAGAAAATGATACGCTGAATCGAATGAGACCATCATGAGCCCGATAGAACGAATAGTTTTCGAGATATCGGCGCTCAAATTCAGCTATTCGCTTCTATTGCCAATAGGAGCACTCCAGTAGGCTACTACGTCTCCATGTTCCTAAATTTCCTAATTTCCACCACAGATCCGTTCAAGACGACATCGCATTAGTCTATGTGAATTTTTTCAGATTCTTAATAAGCCAAATAAAAATTTTCATTTTCTCACCTAAGACTTCCGTACGATATACTCACCGAGCCATCTTCGGACGGCCCGAAGTCCGAAGTGCTAGAAAATGGCGGAAATCCACGCGAATTATCGCTTTTCCTGTAGAAAATGATACGCTGAATCGAATTCGACCATCATGATCCCGATAGAACAAATACTTTTTGAGATATCGGCGCTCAAATTCAGCTATTCGCTTTTATTGCCAATAGGAGCATTCCGGTAGGCTACTACGTCTCCATTGTCCAAAATTTCCTAATTTCCACCACAGATTCGTTCATTACGACATCGAATTAGTCTATGTGAATTTTTTCAGATTTTTAATAAGACAAATAAAAATTTTCATTTTCTCACCTAACACTTCCGTACGATATACTCACCGAGCCATCTTCGGACGGCCTAAAGTGCCAGTAAACGGCGGAAATCCTCGCGAATTATCGCTTTTCAAGTAGAAAATGACACGCTGAAGCGAATGAGACCATCATCAGCCCGATAGAACAGATATAGTTTTGGAGATATCGGCGCTCAAATTCAGCTATTCGCTTTTATCGCCATCTGAGCACTCCGGTAGGCTACTACGTCTCCATTTTCCGAAATTTCTCAATTTCCACCACAGATTCGTTCATTACGACATCGAATCAGTCTGTGTGAATTTTTCCTGATTTTTAATAAGCCAAATGAAAATTTTAATTTTCCCACCTAAGACTTCCGTACGATCTAGTCACCGGGCCATCTTCGGACGGCCAAAAGTGCCAGAAAACGACGGAAATCCACGCGAATTATCACTTTTCAAGTAGAAAATGGCACGCTGAATCGAATGAGACCATCATGAGCCCGATAGAACAAATAGTTTTTGAGATATCGGCGCTCAAATTCAGCTATTCGCTTTTATTGCCAATAGGAGCACTCTGGTAGGCTACTACGTCTCCATTTTCCAAAATTTCCTAATTTCCACCACAGATTCGTTCATTACGACATCGAATTAGTCTATGTGAATTTTTTCAGATTTTTAATAAGCCAAATAAAAATTTTCATTTTCTCACCTAACACTTCCGTACGATATAGTCACCGAGCCATCTTCGGACGGCCAAAAGTGCCAGAAAACGGCGGAAATCCACGCGAATTATCGCTTTTCCTGTAGAAAATGATACGCTGAATCGAATGAGACCATCATGAGCCCGATAGAACGAATAGTTTTCGAGATATCGGCGCTCAAATTCAGCTATTCGCTTCTATTGCCAATAGGAGCACTCCAGTAGGCTACTACGTCTCCATGTTCCTAAATTTCCTAATTTCCACCACAGATCCGTTCAAGACGACATCGCATTAGTCTATGTGAATTTTTTCAGATTCTTAATAAGCCAAATAAAAATTTTCATTTTCTCACCTAAGACTTCCGTACGATATACTCACCGAGCCATCTTCGGACGGCCCGAAGTCCGAAGTGCTAGAAAATGGCGGAAATCCACGCGAATTATCGCCTTTCCAGTAAAAAATGACACGCTGAATCGAATGAGACCATGATCCACTCGATAGGACAGATATTTTTCGAGATATCGACGCTCAAAGTCAGCTTTCCGCTCTTATTGCCAATAGGAGCACTCTGGTAGGCTACTACGTCTCCATTTTCCAAAATTTTCCGATTTCCACCACAGATTCGTTCATTACGACATCGAATTAGTCTATGTGACTTAAGATTTATCGGACCTCTCTATATTTCAATGCGGCCACGTTGGTAGCATTGAAGAGAAAGATGGAAGAGGAGAGAACTTTCCTCTCTCTCGTTAAAGGTAGAAAAGAGCTCAATTGTCCTTCAAGTTGGGAAAGTTGGATACATAAAAGTTAAGCAAGCCAACGTTCAAAATTCTACAAGATGACATTATCCCAGCTTGTAAGGATATTCTGTGAATGTTCGTGCTATCTAGAAGAAGTTATCACTTCCGACGTGTGGTCCTAAGCACACAAGTTTCTTTCACTCAAATAAATTCTTTCAAGGTTGTGGAAAGCCACGTGTGTGTATCAGGAGAAGGCCCGAGGGGCAGCTGTGGGGGCGATTCAGGGGGGCCCTTGCTGGTGAAAGGCACCCAAATAGGTCTGGTGTCCTTCGGTGCAGACAACTGCACTTTAGGCATGCCGTCTGTCTTCACCAGACTGAGCCGATACAACGATTGGATCGTCGAAAACATGAATTCGAATTCTGGACTAGCCAAAGTTCGAAATGTCTTGCTCGGATTTGTAATTGCTGTTTTTGCTTTTCTCTATGCTGCTGTTAATATATTTGTTTAATAGTGATATCTAGGGTACCTTGATGCAAACTGACTTAGTTGTCATCTAACAGGGTACGGACAGATCATAGCTCCTTTCTCTTTTTGGTTTCGTGTATTGGCGTCCCTGATATGACAGGCATTAATAAGAGAGATCTTACAAAATTTTAATTTCATACTTTATCTTAATACGACATCATTCACTTTGGAAGGATGGTAAAATGTGCTGCGTTAGGCTGTATCAATCAGTTGGATGGCAAATTTGAATTTGTCAGCTTTCCATCAAATGCAAATGAACTATAAGAACATGGAAAGTTGAGTGACCGAATGGGAAAAATTGGAAAATACATCAGCAAAATATTCGAGGTAAATTAATACGAAATCACATATTATACTTTCTCATTGTGCCTATATAATTATCGACTCTACAAGTTTTTGAATTCATTTTAGTAAAAACAGTTTTGATTAAAACGGAGGATTACAAGAAGATACCAATTAAAACATTATACCTACATTCAGGAAATATCAAGTGTTCGTGAAAAACTGCAAAAATGATTCCCAACATGAATATATACAGTACACATGACATAATGTTTGAATACCTACATAAAATTTTTCACCATTTCTCAACCATAAGGCTTTGTCTGAAATCAATATTCATTCATTGATAGCACAGATTAACAAACTTGATAGGTACTTCCTAAGAACAGTCCCATTTGGTAAAACGAATTAAACTTTCAGAAAACTTTGCTCACTGCCTCACAAAGATTATGCTGGAATTGAAAACTCAAAAACTCGAAAATTATCATCTTGGATATGTCTTGGATATAATATGTAGAGTAGAATGAGAAGATACATGTGGAAATTACGTATGATACGCCAATGTCCCACTGAAATATACCCTACAGGGTATAGTTCAGTGCAATGTCCCCAATATATAACATAAAAAACAACAAATGTCAGAAATCTAGTGTTTATCGCCAGAAATGAATGAAGATGAAACTAAACACTTTAGAGTGAGAGGAGACGAGGACCTCTCCGTACCCTGTTAAGATGACAAATACGTCAATTTACATCAAGGGACCCTAGTGATATCCTATCATCGTCATTATAAGTTATGAATAAATCACACATTTCAGACAAAATAATTGTAATTATCAGAGACCAGACTGACCAGATGTATACAACCACGGTCCACAGTTCAACTATAACTGTCTTTACTATGGTCTTATACATTAGAGCCTAGCCATAGCACCACTATACGGGAAATATTGCCACTGTGGCAAGTCACAGATTACCCAGGTCACAGATCAGGTGGGGTAATCTGTGGGCAAGTCAAGAGCGTATAAAAATTATAAAATTGTTTTGTAGTTTCTTCAGTCAGAAGCGTGGTGGTCATGGTCATTAGAGTGATGTTCCTTCATTTTTTTTTGAAGTAATTGATCGAAAAAATACTATGGAGGTATTTATCGGTTTGGCCGATAGTGATTCGCTATTTCAATTATGTTTCTTCTCAGGATAGGCTGAAAATTTTCAGTTTCTCACGCCCAGCGAGCAGGGAGCGAGGCACAATATTACCTTGCTATGGTGCTATGGCTAGGCTCTTTAATAGCCGTGGGTCTTACCCACTGTCTTACCCAAGGTCTTAGCCAGCTGCTGAACATGAAATGTCGCATAAAGTTAGGAAAAAAACCGCTAGAAGTCGCTAAAGCGAGCGAAGCTAGCAGAAAGCCTAAACATGATACATAACAAAAATATTTTTCAGTTATGTTTTGTGATATTGTTGATATTATTAGATATCACTATACAGGGTGTCCCTAGACCAGTGGGACAGTTGAATATCTCCTGAACCAATAGGAATTTTCAAAATATTATAATTTCACATCATATCGCATTATGAGTGCTAACTTCAGGAATGACTATATTTTATACGAGGTGCGCAAGAAAGGCTCACAAAATCGAAAATCAATTTTTTCAAATGGAACACCCTGTATTTCATTGCATTTTCATATTCTCCTTAAGCTGACTGAAACTGTTAATTCTACACCACCCTGTATTTGTTTCAATTAAATACGAGATGGAATACAGGGTGTTCCATTTGAAAAAATTGATGTTCGATTTTGTGAGCCTTTCTTGCGCCCCTCGTATAAAATATAGTCATTCCTGAAGTTAGCACTCATAATGCGATGTGATGTGAAATTATAATATTTTGAAAATTCCTATTGGTTCAGAAGATATTTAACTGTCCCACTGGTCTAGGGATACCCTGTATAGTGGCAGGAGTCAGTGTGAATGGACAAAAAAATTGCATATTATTATGACTGATTATAATTTAATCGTTTCATAGCCTACTTAGATAGTTTATAGTTTTCTTGGTGGTACATAATTACATATCATATAACTGGGTATACTTATCTAACATATTGGGCGGTTTTCTCCATAGAACTCAAATACAGGGAGTCTCGAAATTAAATGGGTTCTAGGAATACAAAAAAAAAGTAAAAAAAGTTCATATAAACATGGGTCCATCTGAAGGAGAGCGCGAGATGATTTATATGGTTTGATGTGGATTTTTCGGAAACCTCTTTTGATAAAATAAGAAAACTTTAAACATAAACCTAACTTATTCGCCCGATTTAGATCAGGGGCGTAGGATTAAATAGGGCACCTTTTTCTCAAAATTTTGTTATGTATACAATTTTCACCACTTCGATAATTAAATATAGAACTCTCAACAATTTTACTTGAAAATTGTACTCCTGTAGAGTTGGGATATAGCATTTCACAGTTTTCGAGATAAATTAATTTTAAAATTCTGCTGAATGATAAAAATAGTGTTTTTTCCTAATTAGGGTATGAAATTGTTTGGATGGAAAATACCCTCTATATACTTCTGATGTTTGATTTAAAATATGGGGGTGCAATGACAAGAATAAATTCAAAGTACTGACTTTATTGAGAAAAAGTACAATTTCAATTATGCAGCAGACTTTTAAAAATCGATTCATTCCCGTAATGATGAGTGCTATCAAAACTAGACAGATAAGTAGGTACCATTTTTGAGTAAAAACTACCGAAAATTGTGAAAACAAAATCTTGAGAGAGAAAATGCTCCAAACCCCACTTATTTTCAATGCCCGGATCAAAATTTAAGAAAAATCTTAGCATTTGCGAATCGGGCATAAAAAGTTAGATACAGGGTGATTCACCATCAATGTCCCCGGCTCCTCCTAGCTCAGTTATTCTTGAACTGATTCCAAAATTGTAGAAATCATTTGAAATCATTTTTCATGAATTCTTTTTCCGTTACATCAGAAAATACAGGGTGTTCGGAACAAACGATCTATATCAGGGCACTAGTTGATTTTTTAAAATGGAACATTTGTATTTCACTGTATTTTTAGATTCTGCCTGAAGAGCTGATTTCATCAATACATCACACTTGGGGTCTAGCGGAAACTATTAAAGAGATATAGGGTGTTAAAAATCGAGATATTTCAACTTAGGATCTTTTGCGAGATCTTTTGTGTTTAAAATATTCATTATTGGTCAAAACGGCTCACATGTCTCTATATTAATTGCTCATTTACTATCTAACAACATCTAATTGAAACATATACAGAGGGTGATCAAATTTCTGTATCTTGAACCACCCGCCTGTATTTGTTCCAATCAAATGTCAGTAGATAGTAAATCATAGAGTCACTGGGTGGTATTAGTTTTATACCATTATCAAACTAATACCATCCAGTGACTCTAGTAAATCGAAAGTTGAGATAGGGGTTTGAAAACCATAAGTATCCACTGATGATGAAAAATCTCGATTTTCAACATTCAATATCTCTATAATCATTCCAGCTAGACCCCAAGTGTGATGCATTGATTCAATCAGCTCTTCAGGAAGATCTAGGAATGCAATAAAATACAAGGTGTTCCATTTAAAAAAATCAATTAGTACCCTGTAGATCGTTTGTTCTGAGAACCTTGTATTTTCTGATGTTGTGGAAAACAAATTATGAGAAATCATTCCAAATGATTCCTGAAATTTTGAAATCAGTTCGAGAATAACTGAGCTAGAGAGGGTGAATTTATGGTGAATCACTCTGTACCTACATGTGAAAAAACTTATTTTATAACAGAGGATTTAAAAAATATTGACATAAAACCATCATCTTGGGTTCTCCTTTAGATGACTATAACACACAAGGGAGCAATTTCTTCACCCATGTTTGTTTATATAAACTTTTTTTACTATTTTTTTCCTAGATATGTGGTTGAAATATTTCTATGTAATTTCGGGACACCTTGTATACTGATCTCCCAAACGATTCTAAAAAGGAAAAGAAACAAAATATATGAATGTGTGAGTCTTCTTTTTCTTGGCTCATTGTCCAGAGAGACTAAACCTGGACATGCAGCTGTAGTGTCTTGTCCTGCTAGGATCATTAATCCCTGAAGGGATAATAAACACTACGTAATATTCGGTAGTCTATTTATTCAATGACTTGATGTAACATTATCCTGTAGCCTCACATGTGCTAACCTAACCTGCATCATACACGCTGTCGCGTGCTCTTTATTGTGTCCTTGTGTACGCACAGTTAAGCTGACCGAATACTACTAAATCTCTCCCGCTCGTGTATCTCACATCGCGCCACACGGCGGTATCATAAAAGGCAATGTTGCCACCTATACTTATTAAACTGATACACTACATCCTCCCTCTTTTACAAAAACAAGCTAAAGAAGATTCCTAGCTCAAATCTAATGAGAATAAAAGAATAGAATTCTGTGTAGAAAACTAAACTGTCAGACTAACTATTTTGATGACAAAACAAACAAATTAAAATGTGCTTAGCATATTTCCACTAATCTTTCCGGCCTACGCCGTATGCGAGCCGGCCTCCTGACCAACCCCTCTGGCTCGCCTTGCTGGTCTTGCTCTCGAATACCTGGACCTTGTTGATGATGGTCCGGTGGTTGTGGCTCAACTTGTCTAGGTGGTTCTGCAGTGATCTCCTGGTCTCGTTGTTCCATGAAGTCTTCGACGTCCCACTGGTCGTCCTCGTCGGGACGATTTTGGATGGGCTGCAGAAAAGCCCTGTTGCGCCTCAAGATGCCGTGACCCTCGCACTGGACATCGTACGATCGTGGTTCCTGTCGTCGACGCACGACGATGCCGCTTGCTCGCTTGTCGCGAACCCAGACAAGCTCTCCAGAGGTTAGCGGTCGAAGTTCTCTTGCCCGATGTCGTCGATCGTAGCTGGCCTTGGCTCTCTCCTTCTTCCTCTCCAAGACGACTCGATGGTGATCGTCGTCCACCTTGGAGCGTTGTAGATTTGCACCCAATGTGGGCACGGTGCTACGAAGGCGACGTCCCATCAGCAGTTCTGCAGGACTGAACCCCGACTCTAGCGGTGCTGTGCGGTACGCCAGAAGCCCCTGGAAAGGATCTGAATCCTTCTTGATTATATTTTTGATTACCTTGACAGCGGCCTCCGCCTGACCATTGCTCTGCGAATGATGCGGGCTCATGGTGGTCAGACGAAATCCCATTTCTTCAGCAAAATCTCTTGTTGCTCCGCTGTCGAACTGTGGTCCGTTGTCAGCTCGCAGTTCCTCGGGAACTCCATGTCTCGCGAAGATGTCGCGTAGCTTGTTGATAGTGCCTTCTGCCGAAAGCGATCCCAGTTTCGCTACCTCCGGGTAGCGTGAATAGTAGTCCACCACCACCAGGTAGTGTTGGTTGCCTCGTTGGCACAGGTCTGCTGCCACTCGCTGCCATGGTCGATTGGGTATCTTCGACGAAATCAGCGGCTCCACCGGCTGTGGACGGTGCTGTACGCAGATTTCGCATTCTGCACAAATGCGACGTACATCTTTGGTGATGCCTGGCCACCACACGCTGGTGCGTGCGCGTCCCAAGCATTTGGATTCCCCTAGGTGACCTCTATGCAGCCGTGCCAGCATGTCGTCTCGAAGCTCCCTGGGGATGTAGATTCGTGAACCATACACTAGAAGGTCTTCGACTACTGACAAGTTGGCCCGCTCCCTGAAGAATGGTACCAGGATGGCCTCGACGTCTCGGGGATGCGGCCATCCTTCTCGGACGTGCTGCAGTATGAGTTGTGTTTGAACGTCGCTTGCTTGGACTTCTCTGACTCTCCTCAGGATAGGGTCGGCCACCGGCAGGTCTGCGATGACAGTTCTAGCATAGAACTCGACGTCGGTGTCTCTGAGTAGGTCTCCGTCGTCAGCTGGCGCTGTCGTCGACATCGGAGCCCTAGAGAGAGTGTCTGGTGACATGAGTGACTTGCCTGCAACATGCTCAATGGTGTAGAAGAATCTCGTCAAACGCATCCGCAAACGTTGCAGGCGTGGTGTTAGCTCACTGAGTGGCTTCTGGCTCAGAAGCGATACGAGAGGCTTGTGGTCCGTACGTAGCAACAGGTCTGGTGCTCCCGTGATGAACAGCTCAAACTTCTCGCAGGCCCATGTCAAAGCGAGAGCTTCCTTCTCGATCTGAGCGTATCGACGCTCGGTGTCTGTGAGTGTGCGAGAGGCGTAGTACACTGGCCTCCACACGTTCTGATGCATCACGCCCTTGTGCTCCCAGGCTGGGTGCAGCTGATCCAATACGGCTCCCAATCCATAGCTCGACGAATCCGCTGAGACTCTGGTACGTTTCTTCGGGTCGAAGAAAGCCAGCGCTGGAGCAGAAATCAATTTTGCCTTGATGTCGGCAAAAGCTTTCTCGTGGGCCTCTGTCCACACGAACTCCGTGTCGTCACGTCGCAGCTCGCGCAGAGGTTGGGTCATCGTCGAGAGGTGTTCCATGAACTTTAGCTGGTAATTCACCATTCCTAGGAAGCGACTGACGTCTGCTGCACATGCCGGCCTCGGCATGTTGACGATGGCTTCGACCTTTGCTGGATCCGGCAGGATTCCACGCTCGGCGTCGATGATGTAACCTAGAAACTTGACAGATTGCGTTGCAAACTCGCATTTCTTACTGTTGAGTGTGACGCCGTGTTCTTGCAGTCTCGTCAAGGTGGCTCGAAGACGGACGCCGTGCTGTTCCTTGGTGCACCCATGGATCAGTATGTCATCTGCCAGATGCGTGACGCCTTCTAGTCCCACTAGAACTTCGCCGATCCTTTTCTGGAAGTGCTCTCCTGCCGAAGTAAGTCCCATTGGAAGGCGGTTGTACTTGTATCTTCCATATGGCGTGATGAAGGTGGTGAGCTTCTTCGACTCCTCGTCCAAGGCTACCTGGAAATAGCCGTGGTTGGCATCCAGTTTGCTGAACCATTTGGCGTTGCCCAGAAGAGCCAACAGCTCGTCGACTGACGGCATCATGTACCGTTCCCTCTTCACACTTCGGTTGAGCTCCGTGTAGTCTACGCAGATGCGTACACCTCCATTGGACTTCATGACGACTACCATTGGCGCACACCACTCCGTAGCTTCATCCACTGGTGAAATGACTCCCATCTTCACCATCCTGCTCAACTCATCACGAACCTGCTCACGTAGTTGCACCGAGACTCGGCGCGGTGCTGTAACAGCATGAGGCGTCGATCCCTGCTTGAGAACGATGACGTAGGGTCGTTGATGGTTCAGGCACCCCAAACCCTTGAAGGCCTTGGGAAAGGCTGCCGCCCACTCGTTGGTTTCGCTATCCTCGGTGGCATCTTTTGTGGCTGTCGCCACGACTGCATCAATGTCCCACTTCAGCATGGCCAGGTCCTCGATGGCGGGACGGCCCAGAAGGTTGCTCGCATTTTCCTGGATGACGTAGATGTCGGTGACAGCTGCACGGTCGTGCCAGCCAATGGTCACCGTCATGACGCCGATGACGGACAGCAGGCGGCGACAAGGTCCCCGCAGGTGGTGTCCCGTTGCCTGCAGCTCGATGTCCTTGAAGTGCCCCATGTATGTCTTCTGGCTGATCAAAGACACGTCAGCGCCACTGTCGACTTGAAAGCTCACAGTCCGTCCTTCTACTTCCACTGTAGTCACCCAAGGCAGGCGTCGATTGATACTCGAGCCGACTGCATGCACCCTGGCGATGGAACTCATTTTATCGCACTCAGTGTACTCACCCATGCCATCTGTGTCGAGCTGAACCTCCCCGATAAACATCTCATCCTCGTCGTCGTCTTCGTGCTTGGTGATTTTCCTCACGGTTTTTGCTGTGCACACACTGGCCCAGTGGCTGCTACCATTACACTTTTTACACCTAGTTCCCTTCGCAGGACACTCGCTAAATGCGTGTTGAGGAGATTTCCCGCACTTACTGCACGTTTTTCCCGCCTTTGCAGTTGACATGACAGTATCTTTGAGGTTATGTTTACCGTTGACACGTACCGGACGACTCTGCTGGCGCTGTTGTTTTCCGGTTCCTGCTCGCACATAACTAATCTCTGTGCAGCCATTTTGGATTCCACGTGTATGCTGGTGTTGTCGAATCAACTCTTCTTTCTGCCGAATTTTGCTTGTCGCTTTTTGAAGAGTCATGTCACTATCTAGAGTCAAGGCATCGGACAACTTGCGATCCCGCACTCCTAAAATCAACACATCACGAATGAACTCCTCTTTCATGTCCCCTAGCTTGCAGCTTTCCGCGAGACGATGTAAATCGGCGATGAAATCTTCCGCGGATTCATTCGTGCCTTGCCTGCGACCGAAAAATCGCTGCCGCTCTAGCACTGTGTTGACACGAACTCCGAAATGCTCGTCGAATTTATTCAGCACGTTTTCATACGTTTGTTCTTCCTCCGACAACCGAAATGAAAGTGCAATATCATCTCCCTTCTCCCCCATCGTGTATATGAAAGAATTCAGCTTGAACTCATCACTTTGGCTATTGAGGCCGCTGCCTAAACAATATCGTTCCCATCGTGTTTTCCATTTAGGCCATTCTTCCGATTTGAAACTAAATGCCGATGGTGGTTGGAGATTTGACTGGAACATAAACACTGTACTTGCCTGCACTTCTTCATCCTGGTTCACAGAGTCCGGCATATCGAACAGACTACGACACAGTATACACTCGCGGACGTAGGTTTTGTTGGTGTGTACACCTCACTATTTACCACACTGTCACCATGTAGTGTCTTGTCCTGCTAGGATCATTAATCCCTGAAGGGATAATAAACACTACGTAATATTCGGTAGTCTATTTATTCAATGACTTGATGTAACATTATCCTGTAGCCTCACATGTGCTAACCTAACCTGCATCATACACGCTGTCGCGTGCTCTTTATTGTGTCCTTGTGTACGCACAGTTAAGCTGACCGAATACTACTAAATCTCTCCCGCTCGTGTATCTCACATCGCGCCACACGGCGGTATCATAAAAGGCAATGTTGCCACCTATACTTATTAAACTGATACACTACAGCAGCCAATTTAGGAATTAATTGTAAATGATTCCTATAAATTGTTGAAAAATTATCAACCTACAAGTACTCGCATCACAATACATGCAAGCAGAAAGCCCCCTACATATTTTAAAACCGTAAATTCAATAGTTTCACCAGACTGTTCAACAGTATGAACAACTGGTAGATTAATATTACTATTCCTTTCATTAGACAGATAATGCACCAACTGATTCAAGGTTGACCTATTTTTTGCAACTTCCTGTAAGACTGTCTCATTTATTTGCTCCTGCCTCTCCATCTGTTGGAGGTCAATGCCCCCAATAATCACTGTTGATAATTTATCATCAATGAATTTCTTTAAATCATTTTTCCTATAAGTTGTATAAACAAATGCTAGAAATGATCCAGTAATACTGAGAATGAACCCTAAATATTTCGTATATTCCACCTGTGCACGTTGTTTTTCATGTGAGTCTCTAATGGCATTTGTAAATGCAGTAAAAAGGTCCCTTTCTGTTTGGTCATATTCCTGGAATTTGTTAGAAGTTGTGCGCTCTAAGAAAATCACCTGAAAAAGCGGTCATGAATACTTGCAATGAAATTGTATAATTTGTAGAATCCAAGGGGCCTACCTCCCGTTCTTCTTTTATCAAATCACAGTACACAGTGAACTTCTCTTTTCTATCAACATTCTGAATTTTATCTTGTACTTCACTGGCCCTCTGCCTGATCTCATTCAGCTGTCCACTGATCTCTCTACGCTTTTCTTGGGTAGCCAATAATTCTTTCTGAGAACATACTTTATGAAATGGAATTTGGGCAAAATTTTCAATACTCACTTGCAGTGCAGCTACTCTTTCCAGGTATATATTCACCTCATCCAGACCAATTATTTTATTGTACCATTTATTCCAGCCAGATATTTTATTGTACACTATTTTTTTATTCTCTTCTTTTATCGTTTGGAAATATTGTGGAGCATCTTTTATCTTCAGTTTCAAGGAGTTTTTCAAACTTTCTACTGTTGGATTTTTTGCTAGCCTGGATACGATCTTTGATCCCATACCTTCTGATATCAATGCTCTGTACTCAGAAACTGAATTTCATTGTCATTTTTTGTGGAAAATAGGAAATAGGAACCACTTTCAAGTTCTCCTTTTTTCCGTTTCTTACACATAACATGACAGTCTGTTGTTTACCATTGAGACTGAGACACACAACCTCAATGTTTCTTCATCTTCTTATTATTAAGTTTTAAGCTTTCATTTTCATTAGAAGTGAGCGACTAGGTTCTCATTGATGCCTCTTCCTCTTTCTTTGCCAATGTACAGCTGCTGTTGATGATTTCCAGAATTCAATAAATATAGGATTTGAAAGCATGATAAAAAATAATCAGTAAAGGCAAGGCTAAAGGTCAAGGAGAGTGCAAACTGCAAAGTCGAACCATTTCCAAACGATTTTGAATCTTAGATCATACAGGAATGATCTAAGTTTTGAATTTTGCCCTACCTATCTGTCCGTTGTCCTGTCATTGCGTAAATCCGTGAATGCTCCGGTAACCTGTGAATTGTCATGGTCATTGGGTCAATTTTCCACAGCCACCTTTTACGTTCAGCTGGGGTAACGTGTGAATTTCTGAATTTCCTTTCTGTCCATTCCCCGCTGTTGACCAAAATCAGAAATATGGCCTACTCGGTAGTGGAAAGAGGCTCTCCTTACTCCGCGGACTACAGGGTGTACATCCAGGACCAAAACGGTCCCGTGTCACCCCTACACGACATCCCTCTAGTCGCCGACGCATGCAAGAAAACCTACAACATGGTGGTAGAAGTGCCCAGATGGTCCAACGCCAAGATGGAGATCACCATGAAGGAAATCTTGAATCCCATCAAACAGGACATCAAGAAAGGTAAACCCAGGTTCGTGGCCAACTGTTTTCCCCATCACGGTTACATATGGAACTATGGGGCGCTTCCCCAAACCTGGGAAAACCCCGAGCACCTGGATGATGGTACTGGTTGCAAGGGAGACAATGATCCCATTGATGTCATAGAAATCGGCTACAGGGTGGCCAAACGTGGGGAGATCTTGAATGTGAAAATTCTAGGCACCATAGCCCTCATTGATGAAGGTGAAACAGACTGGAAATTGATAGCTATTGATGTGAATGATCCCATAGCAGATCAAGTCAATGATATACCTGATGTTGAAAAGCACTTTCCTGGTCTGCTCAAAGCCTCAGTGGAGTGGTTCAAGATTTACAAGATCCCAGATGGCAAACCTGAGAATCAGTTTGCTTTCAATGGAGAAGCTAAGCCAGCTGCTTTTGCTGTTAAGATTGTTGAGGAGGTGCACAGATTCTGGAAGGCTTTGGTGTCCAAGGAAGTGGATGCCAAGGGCATTTCTTGTGTAAACACTACCCTGGAGGGGAATTCTTACAACATTCCTGTCAGTGAGGCAAAAGATATCATCAACAAAACTCCAGAATATAGTTCTCCTCAAGCTGTAGATCCTATTGTAAACAAGTGGCATTACATCCATCTCAAGTGAACATTAGGGTTTTGTTGGAACTTTTTTATGTCTGGTGGCTCTGATACTGCATTTGTTATTTTTTTACAGTTTTGCACTAATTTTTGTAAATGTTCCTAAGTAGTACATGAAAGGTATTTCAGAACTTGTTTTATTTCTATTCCATGAAATTGTAGTCAAATTTGAATATTTTTTTCTCCCTATGTACTTGATATTATCCAGTGGATGATAATATAATATATACCTGCACATAACTATGGATTACATAATGACCACAATAATTTATAGGTACTTTTTTAAAATGATGAAAAGTTGAATACATTGCTCTAGAAAATAAGCATATATGTGACCTATCCAGTTCTTGAAAGCTATCAAAGCAGCCTGTTTACTATCATTTGTTTTTTGTTCCTACTTATTGTTCATATGGGTCATATCATCTAAACAAGTACTCACAGAGGTGTTCTATCATTGAAGATCTCACATCAAAGGTATGTAAATATGTGGAATGAGAATGAAATCACCAATTAATCAAATTCCAGGATAATGGAATGTGCTTCCAATATTTTCAAAATAAGTAATAGGTACACAGGAATGGTGAATTGTATCTGTAAATATTTTTTGGTGTACATTATAAAAACACATAATGGAGAGATATAATTATATTTTAAACTAAACAATAACCATCCTAATAAATTGTATCACTTGCCAGACCTGAAAAAAAAAAGTAGGTATTTATGAATCAAGGCATCTATGGAATTGTAAACATCTCACATTTCTGACTTAAAAAAAGGTAAAAGTGTCTTCCATTGTTGTGAAAATCAAGTAGCCATGCACAACCAATAAAAAAACAAAATGAATAGGTATCAGATTGGTGTCAGTTTACAAAAAATGCAAGGTTTAATTCAAAAACTAGTGTTGAGTGTAATCAAAACCAGTGAAAACTAGTGATTTCAGCAGAAACTGCAGATACTGTCCAAGAAGTGAAGACTGCTATAATAGCTGAATTGAGGAGGAGGAACCCCTTCAAGATCAGAAAAATCACAACTAGTTGCATGAACAAAGTAAAAGATATTCAAGTACCTATCTTATATTAGAGGAAATGAGAACATAATTTGTGAATTCTCACAGTTTCAATTCCTGTTGCTGTTGCATGAATCAAGCTTAATTTAATGTAATATGTTCATGTGAATTTTGTGAATTATTCATCTTACTGAGCTGGCTTCATTCGTCTGGAATAGCCGATAGTCCATTGACTTTGTAAGGATCTCCAGATAGTCGCTTGTCTCTCAGGTATTGTAGCCTATCTTCCCTTTTTAGAAGGCTTCTTCGAAACATGTTTCCAACAACTGCATTGTTGAGAACGTATGCAGAAGCATGAGGAAGTGCCATTGCCACCATGATTATTCCAAAGCTTGGTAAAATTTCGAACCACATTCCGTATTATAGTTATCTGAAATTATTAAAAAATATCTAGATCTAGGTTTGCTTTGGAATTTGGATGACAAATGCATTACATAACCCTCAAACTCCTAACCTTACTTATTCTTCTTTCTTTTATTATTGTGACTCAAAGTCATAAGACTAATAATGGTTAAAGTACTATCAGGCTAAACACAGAAAACAGAAAGTAAACTTCTAACCAAAAAAATCAGGGTAATCAAATTTCAAGTCAAATAACAAACACAGTCGTAACAAATAAGGAATAAAGAGAAATGAGGATATTTCAAGCATTATTTCGCAGAAAACATTTACCAAACGGTCATATTTACAGGGGCAAGAATAGAATAGTTAAAGAAGTCACTATAGATGATCTCCAAAAATTGAAAACTCTGTTTGAAATTGAAGAACAAAATATGTTCTATTTGAGACATGCTTTCCTAACACCCGTGAGTATAATTTTCATTTTCGACGAATTGAAAATTACATACTCCTGACATTCTTAGGAACAATCATCAGGACATGGTAGAGCTTTAGGAAAGAATGAAGCTAATTTCATCAAGACCAAAACAAAACAGAAGCCATTCTATGATAATGTTACAATTGAGTCCCGATTAGCTCATCTTAGGGTGAATGAAGGATGGGAATGATCCATATCTTGAGTTGAGTCATCCTAGATTTGTGATTGTTTAAAATATATTTATTATAGATAAAAGTACAGTATAGGTATAAGGTATAGGTACAAAGATAGATAATCTAATCTAATGATTCTCTCACATCTCCCATCTACCCTGCAAAATCAGTATACCTACCTTTCATCCATACAGATTTTACTTATTTGAATAAAATATTAGCAGTATTATTTTCTCTTTAATCCCAAATGAAATTATACATGGGCACTGCAATTAACTCTACTATAACTTGACTATACATTTGTCATTAGAAATATTCTCAGTTGGGTAATGTTAAATATACCCTTACCTGAAAACTGAAGCACAGGCAAAAACTGAAAATAGTAAATTTACAGGATTTCCATTGAACTTTTTTCTTTATGGAGCATAGTATTATCAGTTTTGTGGACTTGGATAAAAACACCCTGTATTTATAGTGTATTTAAATGAGTTTTCAAATTTCCATTGAAAGAAAGGAAAGTTTACCTGAAGATTATAATGTAGCAATATTTAAAACCTATCCAGAAGAAGTTGATGCCTGCCCATAAATTATTAAGCAGTGCATGAGCATTCCTTTGAAAAGCTCATTCTGAATATAAATGAGTAATTTAGTAATTTATTTAACCCAGTGTACAAAACAGGGAGGAAAATATAGTTCACCAAAAATTGAATGTATTTCAGTTTTTCAGAGACGTTGTACAGTACAGTGCCGTGCGTTTTTTGATGATTATATTTCAGTTTCAATTGAAAATAAGCTTATTTTAAGGACGGCGGAATAGCGCTGAGTGGTTGATATGATAGGCACTCGATTAGCTCTATATAGCTAGTACCTAATCAGAACGTCGTAAGGTGGCTATAGGTTCGAATCCCCGGATGAAGAGTTTTCGTGATCGGGAATTATGATTCTTCGTCAAAATTAACAAATTCAAGATGGCGGATCCATAATGGCGGATTTTGTAATTGGGATCCGATTTTATTCAAATTTGGTATTTGGTGGTTCTCGGGGTCGGAGATCATGATTCTTTCGTCAAAATTAGTAAATTTCAAGATGACCCTAATATGGTAAACGAGTATTGTGATTATATATGTATGATCCGACTCGCTCTTCAAAATGGTTATCTGGGTGTTTTCGGGTCTTAGATCATGATTGTTTTGTCAAAATTTGGAAAGGGTGGGATTTGGAAATTCAAGACGGTGGAACCAATATATATACCGGACGAGTTTGATAATTATATACCGATTCTATTCAAAATTTGTAAGTAGGCGTTTTCGGGATCAAAAATTATGATTCCTTTGTCAAAATTAGGGCATTCAAGATGGTAGATCCAATATTTGCGGACGAGTTTTGTAATTATGTTCCGATTCTATTCAAAATTTTCATCTGGGGTTTTAGCAGTCGAATATTATGATTCTTTCGTCAAAATTGGGAAATTCAAGTGAACTAAAAAGAAGTTGAAATAAATGGTAGTTTGAAAAACTAAAGGAAGACGCTTCTTTAGAGTATAGATAGGAAAACTAAAAAGAAGGAGAAAATGAAATAATAACAGTGTCTTGATGGATATTCAACTGAAAAACTATATTATAGAAATAGTGTATATAGCAAAACAACGTCGTTGTCGAGTTCTGCTAGTACCTATGAAATATAACTGTGCTACTGATGATATAATTATTAATGAAATATTCTTATTCGAAAGTTAAATGCAAATAAATTCCGTACACACATATCATTTCAAATAAAGGTGTTTGTAGCACAGTTGGAATATAAGTTCGATTTGTGATCAAGTGGATAGCGGAGGACCAGGGTTCGAATCCTGTGGCGGTCGTCCTTTTTTCAAATTGAATGTATCGGCAGACATGTATACTGGCTTTGATGACGGCCAGAGTCTCCCATTGGTACTGGACCATCAATTATGTTCACAGGAATTTTGCCGTTCTGGCCAATTCTGCCCAGCATTTTATGAAGGGTCAGCATAAGCCGACCAAAATTGTTTGCTGGGATTCTTATTTCAATAAAAACGCACGACAGAAAGACTGATCACTGGTTTCGTGGTTCCATACCAGTCCAACTTTGGTAAGAATCGCACGACTAATATCTAAGAGATATAGATGAAGGGGAGCCGTTTGAAAGTGACACATATAACATAATAACGACTTTTATATGATTAAGAAAAGAGAAAGGCTAAGTCTAACATATATACCTAGATATTAATATGATGTGTATCATATATGGTTGCCCACACATCGGCACAGAAGTATAATAAAATGGCTTTACAAAACCGGTTGCACAGCAAGTCAAGAGAAATTCGATTCTTCTTTTTTCAATCGAGATTTTAAATTTCAAACTACAACATATATATAGGTACCTGGTAGCCCAAAATACGCGAGAGTGCAAATGGACTTACAATTTTCACTAGCATTAATTTCAGAAATACTTGTTTGATTAAAAGTGACCAAAAACTCTTCTATTTCAAATTGAATATCTTGTAAATTTTTTCATCATATCTTTATTCATTACTTTTCAACGATTTATATAGGTGTCACATAAGTGGTCATTTGTTTGTTCTTCGATTTTCTGTTGAATTGAATATCACTGAAAAACTTTATGACGTGGCTGTGTGGATTTCATATAATTCATATATTATTGGTGAAAGCCGGTATTGATAAACTCGATTGGTTAGGAAAATATTTTTTTATTCAGCACAATATGATTAAAATAATTTTTTTCTACGAGCGTGCGCAAAGTAATATATTTCTGCAAACATTTGCGTGCACAAAGTTACACTTTTCCGCACGCTGTGTGGATAACAATTTTTTTCGCTCTTATTTCGGAAAAGTATAACTATATGGAAAATTTACATTTATTTTAGTTTTGCTGTAGATTATTCCTCCATATTTGCATTTCAGCTTGAAAGGAAAAATAATATTGAAAAAAAATATTCAATGAAATATTGGCCACGAACATCTGCCTTCTGTATAAAGTCGATCAAGCCAGATTATTATTACCGGCCCTTCTCCGCTAAAGTTTAGTGTTCATAAGCCACACCCATCCAATGATAACTGTCCGGATGTGCAATCAATTTGCAAAATGTCAATATATTGTCCTTTCATTATGAATATTACTGAAATCTGAAAATGAAAATGGTAAATTCAATGAAATTCATAAATGTCTGTCTGTAATTTTGACTGATGCTTTTCTGATTTCGTATAGTTCTCTCATATATAGGTAGGTAGATAGATAGTCAAAATTCTCGAACTTTTCGTAATATTTATGCTAATTTATTTTTTCTCACCCTGTAAATGCGTCTTTACAAAGGCGCTTTGTGTCCGTATAATGTGTGGTCATACCAGGAAAAGAACCGAGGCCAAGTTTCACTATTCTCCATCAGCAGTTGACAAATATACTTACAATAAGAGTGGCATTGCTGCACTTTTTATTTTCATTTATTGATAAGATGAAACGGTTGTTGGCTCTTGGTTTGTGCATTTTGTTTGTTTTTTCTGTGACCTGTGCCCCCCTGGAAGGAAATAATGCATCTGCCAGCGACGCAAAATGTGAGTAAATTCATTATATCTACATAAATTATGGGCTACAAATATACACAGAGGTCAGAGGTCAATCAGATCAAATCACTTTGCTTCACCAAAAAATAATGATTTTGCATTGAAAACACGTTTCATACAGGGTTCACCATTTAAAACGAAACAGAATGAATTTCTGATTACGCACTTGTACAGATAGTACTTCTTTGCAGTTTGGCTATCTATGAGAGCGTGTTTTTTCGTTTTCTTAAACTACTATATTTATTTTCTATTTTTTAGCTGGGCTGAATACAAGAGCGTATTTTTAATTTTTTAATATTTTTTGTAAGTATACCGCCCAGCAGTGAAAGTGGGAAATTTGCACGCCTGTTGCCTTCCTTGGATGTTGTAACCGTTTTTTTTGGCTCCCTTGTCGTGAACTTCATTTCATACGAGTACTTGGTGCCTGGTGGAAGGAACTACTGTCTCTCTGGATATAACTATATTCATATCATTAGAGTAGATATACTTGGTGCAAGACACATGCCGTGTCTTTGGATGTGAAAATCGCTCATCCAGGAGAACCTGATCAAGATAATGAAACAAAACCATTGAAATATGCTATTGTCATCGGTCATTGATGAGTATGTGAAGTTTCAATTCAATTCGTCGTTTTGAAGTGGTCCGAAATCACCCGTTCCTCTGGATGTAACTATTGTAAAGTTATTGGAAGGAATACATATTTTGGTGGAGGAACATTTGAAATTTTGGCGGCGGAACATCATTCACCACTTAAAAAAACTACCTAACTATTACAGGCCGATCGCACTGCTATATCTATTATTTCAAAGATCATGGAGAAAGCTATCAACATCGAGCTCATGAAATACCTGGAACATTCAGGTATTATCAACGATAGGCAATATGGCTTCCGTCATCAGAGATCAACTGGTGACCTGCTCGCTACGTCACACATATATGGCAGCAATCTATTGAAAAAATTGGTGAAACTTTAGCCGTGCATGGCACTTGATATCTCAAAGGAATTCGATCGAGTCTGGCACCACGGACTCCTCGTCAAGCTTCCATCTTATGGCTTGTCTCCCCAGCTATGTTCTCTGATAGCTAGTTTTCTCTCAAACAGGTCTCTCCATGTAGTGGTCGACGGAGTTTCATCTGACTCTCTCATCATGAATGCTGGTGTTCCGCAAGGATCAATTCTAGCACCAACACTATTTTTACTCCATATCAACGATTTGTTGGAAGTTCTTCCAGTACACAGCTTCGCTGATGATAGTACCCTCCGAACCGCCTTCTCTTCCAGGGCTCCAAAACCAGCCAGGCAAATCAGAAACGAACGAGGGAGAAATGTTGACAACATAAATATGAACTTGGCAACAATTCTTGAATGGGGATCCAATAACTTGGTAGATTTCAATGCAAACAAAACACAAGCATGTCTTTTCTCTAGAAAAGCCGATCTCACGGTGCCCAACAGATAAGCTTGTCAGCAGTAACCATATACCTTTGAAGACATCGATTTCGATGCTTGGGATTACTATCAGCAATAACCTTTCTTGGGAAAATCACGTGAGATCAATTGCTAAAAGTGCATCCCAAAAACTTGGTTTTTGTTTCGGGCCAGGAGCTATTTCATATCCAGTCAGCTGTTTATGATATATT